GATATACGTGGGCTTCGTTCCTCTTCACTTCCTAAGTTAACTTCTTCTAATGGATCTTGAGCCTCGACTTTTTTATAATTTGATGTAACAGATTTTACGAAACCTAAAGGAGAATAATCATAAATACAATCAAGTATAACTTGATCGCTATTATCTGCAACTACGGTCGAGTGAATCGACTTATTTATCCCTATTTCACTACTACTACTACTTTCTTGGCTCTTCTTCCCATCTTCATATTTTCCCAATCGAGCCAAGAACTCTTCGTATTCTCTATTCATCTTCACCTGCCACTTCGAGGTTGGCCCTCTCTTTGATCATGATGAATCCTTTCTTCTCATTCATCTCTAAGAAACGCTCCTCATGCGGTTTTGAATTAAAATCTTTGATCTGTTTCGAAGGTGAATGGTTGAGCAAGCGCCGGATTCTGCAGGTGCTCGACCAGACTCGAGATACGAATGTTACAAATTCGTGTTGATCTCCCGGGATTACTTCAAGATGTCCGTCTCGATTCCACATAAATAATTTTTGATGAGCTGTCGAAGGCACAGCTCCTACTCCATGAATCCACTCTCTGCCAAGTAATGCATTGAAATTGGCATGCGACTGGACCACAACAAACACAGTAGGTCTCGAGTAAGTGCCCACTTTCACGTCTAAGGCAATCATACCTTCTGAACTTGACGTCTTTCCGCTGAAATCGGAAATCATAATGTTGTGCTTGACTAAGTCTTTTAGCTCAATACCAAATTTCTTTAGCATAGTAATTGACAGTATATTCACTGCTGCTCCACCATCGACAAGGACTCTATTCACCATCTGTCCTTGAATCTCGATGTTTAGTAATAATGGTTTCAAGTGGAACCTCATTTCCTCGAGATGGGGATCGATGAAAGCGGCGTCCCTATGAGGAACTTCACATGAGGTTTGTGTTACCCATGTTATTTTTGGCCTTATGTTTTTCGAATAGAAGTCGCCTTCCCGCTCGACATCTATTTGTTCTTGATACTCTTTGTATTCGCTCACATATTCCGCAGGTAAAATTGATATTACCCCGATTTGATGTTCGTCCCAAGTACCATCATCCTTGTCATCGAGAAATTCTCTTGTATAATGACTCTCTATAGGTGCAACATTTTCTTCAAAGTTTCTGTAATTATTCCAATAAGGGATCTTTCCTCCTCTACTCCGGGGCCTTCCTCGAATCTTCTTTGGAATGCTCGGGAATCTAGTGATCGACCCATCATCATACGAGAGTCTTTCAAAAACATCGTTACTTTGAAGTCTACCTCTTCCTCCTCGAGAAGGATACATCTCTCTTCTAATCCACGACCCCGATTTTCACTAACACCAGAGCCAACTGATTTACCGACTTTCTTCGATAGTTGGTCGGACTGTTTGATCTATTTTGTCATTTTTCCTTTTATTTTGGTTCTCGATCTTCTTCATCTGTTCTGTTCTGAAAGCGTTGGCAGCCGATTTATCGAACACTGCACTGCATCGTGGGCATAATGATACATCTTCGTCTTTTTCCTTCTTTCTATTCAAAAATTCAATGAGAGAATCTCCTGATCGAGGGTATATTTCCTTTTCGAACTCTTTCTCGAATTCACTCAGGTCAAATTCCATGTCTTCCTCAGATACATCCATCCTAACATGCTTAGGATCGATGTCTTCAGTGACATCTACCATGCCTATGAAGGCTGAATGTGTTAATCGGACATCATCAGTAATGCCTGTTTGGGATTCGAGGTATCCTACTTGAGCCTCGAAAGGGCTCGTGTCAACTTTCATTGTCATTTCTTCGAACTTCAACCTTCCTTGGTCGATCACATCTTGGATGGTGTTCCCGAAATGTATACAATTGTTAGTCCAATGTCCATAAACATTATGAAATTTGCAATATTTTCGACCATTCCTTTGTTCTCGCGACTGACAGCTTTATGATCATCACTCAACTTAATCTGTTTGTCTTTCAATAAAATATCAAAGATTTTGTCTGCTTTTGTTACATCAAAAGTATATGTTCGATTTGCCATTTTATCTTTTACTTCATTCTTTTGTAGCAATTTACAGGTATATGGAACCCCCACTTTGAGTTCTGCCAAGTTTACTTTCTCATCGACAGTTTCTTCAATATCATTTTCTGTCATATTATCTGTCTCATATACATCATTTATGTATGCTAGTCTTTCCTTTTTTAGAGGTTTCTCATATTTCTTATATCTTTGTTTCTCATACTCGATTTGTTCCACTCTTCTTACTTTATCAGCTAATTGAGCCATGTCATTTAATGGTAAATTGACTAGTTTTTTCCTAATCGAGAATTCTAAACCTGCAGATGCCATTCTGACTAATTCATATTCAGGAATTTGAGTGAAACATCTCGATTTCATTTGTCTAAATCGATTCAAATAATCATCTATGCTTTCATGATTGTATCTTTTTATATTCATCAAGTCGATGAGACTCACTTGAGTTTCTCCTTTAAGGAATTGTTCATGAAAATTTCTTTCCAATTGCAGCCAATTATATATCGAATTAGGTGGCAATGACGTGAACCAAGTAAAAGCATTCTTAGTCAAAGAACTCGGGAAATATTTCATTTTCAATTCCTCACTCATCGCTAGGTCTCCACATTCGATCTGATATCGAGCTACATGCTCGATAGTCGATTCACCAACTTCTCCAGCAAATTTGGTGAATTTGGGTACTTTATATCCCCGAGGCAATTCTGTCTCGAGAATCGCATTCGGAAAGGGAGATACAAAATATGTCTGATTAGGTGGTCTAAATTCCATCCCTTGTAAATTCACCCTTTGTCCCAACATATTATTCTGATTGTGTATATTTTGAAATCCTTCGTTCAAATTCCCATAAATATCATTCCTCACATGTTGATACTCATGTCCCATACGCTGCTGTTGATCATTGTTTCTATTTCTTCTCAATAGATATGGGGGATTAATATTAGTATTCTGGTTAGCATGATTTTCTACCCTTGTTCGTCGAGGCACATCCAATGCATCCCCGATTCGTGACATTTGGTCTGCTAATATCTCGAAACTAGCAGTAGTGTTTTGCACTAATGGACTTAAGACTGTAGTCAATTGTTGTGATAACATGTTCACCATTTCAAAATTACTCTCATCCATTTGCTGTCTAAGTACCCCTAATGAATTACTAGATATTCCGGTACTTATGTTTTCGATAGAATCAAAATTAGATCGATGATAGTCTCTATCGAATACATATCTCCCATGATCTAAGTTTCCCCTATGATCTAGATTTGGAGGCATCTCGTTGTGTGCCTACATTCTCGTCCGTTCCCGAATTCCGGGGAATTACTAAGTTTTGCGACGTCCCTAAATTTGGAGGGATTCCAAAATTTTGTGGCATACCTAGTGTTTGGGACATTCCTAAGTTATGTCTCGAATTCCTATGCGTTGAAGAAGTTCCAGCCCCACTCACATTATTAAGTGAAAACCCGGGTGGTCTTACACTCATACGTGGCCCTACATATGTGGTTGTGGGATTTCCTATAGTTTGCATATTATTTGGTATCACCGTACTAGATCCTACTTGGGTGTTTGCTAATGTACCTGAATTTTGTTCACTACTCACAGGTATCGACATGCTCACAGTTGTCGATACTACAGGTGTGTTCCCATTATGACTTTGCCCCCCAGTATTTGGTGGGTGTGACACATTTAATCCCTCACTGTTACTCTGGTTACTTGATGAACTGTGACTCATGACTCTTCCACTCCTTAATCTCATACAATTTCAAACTAACCAATTTTGTGTTTCTCAACACAAGATTACCCCCCTACCAGGCGCGCCAATTTGTTTCTGGTGGAATTTTGATCGATTTCGATTCTAAGGGTGTTTTGGTCCTAATCAAAAATCTACCACGTAAGTTCTTTTTACTTAGGCTAGCAGTCTGACTTTCAATCGAAAACGTATATGAGAATCGAAAATCATAAGATATCAAGAAAACTGTTTTTGGTGTTGTCTTTAAAGTATCGAAAACAATAAAGTATCGAATCGAAAAAGCAGAATATTAAATTGCGAGGAAATGTAAAGTGCGAAAACCCCAAACTTGCATTAATTGTAAATGACAAGGAATCGAAAAATAGTGCAAATGTAAATGGCAGGAAATCGAAATGTGCAGGAAATGTGAATGACAATAAATCGAAAATACATAAACTTAAACTTTCATTGAATTGAAATGGACAAGGAATTGAAAATACAGAAACATAAAATTGCTAAATTTAAATTGCATCAAAATAAATTACCAAGGAAAATACAGAAAGCGGTAAATGTACTCAGTGAGCAAGGAAATCCAGATTGCCAGAAACTTCATGGTGTTCGTCGTTTCTCCGGTAGACTTTTCACTACTGATCCTGTTCTCTGCCAATTTCGCCCATTCCTCCTTCCTCCTTTGTACTATTTATAGGGCATCATTCAAGTCTTCCAGAAATGATTAACAAGACTCGATACCACGTCCTACGTGTATAAGGCAGTTCATCTTTTACGGTTTCCCACGTTCTCACGATCTTCACCTCTTCCATAACTTAGAAACTGCTTTCCAAACGTGCGTTTTGACTATTTCCCTTCAAGGTTTAGCCGGGGTTTCGATATCCACATAGACGAGCCTTCCCTTCGATTTTGACTTAATCGAAAACTTTGCATACCTGGCATCGATTCATTTTAACCTTAACTTCATATACTTCAAAGTTGTTCCATGTTAAGCCTTCGACTATTACTCCTACCCTTCTGATTCTACCTTTCGATTTTATGTGCTACGTTCTTTATAATTGGACATCGAAAAAGTTATCATACGCTTTGTTCGTTTATCGATCATATTTCTTGATTTCACACTAACATTAAGAAATCTGTTTATTTTCCCACCAGACTCACAAATACATTTACAGTGAATAAATTGAGGATAAGAGCAAACATATGCCTCAAATTGATAACAACAATTGACAAATATTTTAAGGTCGCCGTTTGAACTTGGAAAAATCAGGGCGCCTACGTTGCAAATATGCATTCTTCCCCTCTTTAGCTTCCTCGGAGCCATAGTATATAAGTGTTGCATTTCCTCCAAGTTCCTATAATTTTGATTACCAACTACAAATTAAGTATCCATCTATATGAATCAAGACAAGGATGACAATTTTTACAAGTAGACTGAAGGAAATATACATCAGTATAAATTCATCATTGCAAAGCATTGGTATCGTCAGTATAATTATCTTTTTTAGAAATAACATGTTACTTTTCTAAAAAACATTATATATTACTACCCCCAGAAGAAACACAAAATTTTCTCAGACTTCATTAAAGAACATGAGATCACTTTCGAATATATTTTTGCTAAATTCCTTCCTTATATGGGAAGTCTATCATAAAATCACCATTATTTTTCGTGGATGCATTTTCTTAGACTATTAACAATATATTATTATAAGTCATACTAGTTGGTTGAACATATTATCTCATAAACTAAGACCAATGTTATTAAATATACTGATTACTTGAATCTTTTAATTTTTTTTATATATAATTCTTGTACCGTTCGAATCTAATCGGTTTATATCTTGATCTAAGGACTCAGAATAAAGATCGAATCCTCTGTTTTTCTGTTTTTAGATATTATGTATCCTCAAAATCACGTTCTTAAGAGTGATAAAAAATAACAAACCATAAGAATCAAACTATTTAATACATATGTCAAGATATCAAGACACAAGCCAATAGGGATTGGAGGATCAAGTCAAGTAAAAAAAAAAAAAAAACCATTTAAAGTTAGGTTTTAGACAAGTTTTTTCACTCAATCAAAACTAGCTTAAGTCCTAATAATTTTCCAACCATTTTTGGCTAGAACATTTCGCGCCAGAAAAACAGTCAAATGTTTAATACACCACAAAACAAAGAAAGCAAAGGGGTGAAAATGAGGGGAGCTAAAACAATTTCTCAGATCGTTTACGTTTCGCCAACCGTAATCATATACAACACTTTCCTCTTTTGGATGGTTAACGTCGTCAACACTCGAAATATTCCCATGGCATCATTTTGGCCCATGTTCGCGTCGGTTTTCATCGTGCCCAAACACTACCATCTTCTCCAGTGAAACGACCGCTATCCTATAAACGTATCAGGGGGTTTTCCTTAAAGGGCTGATAAAGAAGACAAATTTGGATAACTTTGCAATTCTGGACTGCTCAGCTCGTTTGATTCGAGACCGTATGAGGTCTACCTACTCGAAACCCTATGTGGTCACCAATGATCCAATTTGCGACCCTAAGTGGTCCATCATATGGTCTCCCATGACTCAACCATCATATGGTCTTCCATGACTCAAATTGTGACTAAGGTGGTCCATCATGTGGTCTTTATTGACCCACCTCGCAACCTGAGATGGTCCATTATGTGGTCTCCATTGACCCGACTCACAAGGTAGTCCATTATGTGGGTTTTGTACCCCAATTCGTGACCCAAAGTGGTCTCCCAAGTTGATTCACAAATCACAAGAAAATAAATTTAAGAAAAGATTGTTAAATGATGCAAAAAAATAGGAATTGTTCAGAATAGACAAAAGTTAGTCCTCATTTTTATCCATGATCTTGCTATCTACTACGCTCTTGAATGGGCCAAAGGCGGAAAGACCTAAGCTGAGAACAGTGGGGACCTATATATATATATATATATATACACACACACACAAGAGTGCACCTATTACTAGCTATCTGAAATTTTTTTATTTTATTCCCTTAATTTTATATATTTGAACCCACTGCCCATTGCTGTATGATAGACTTATGTGTAATTGAGAATATACAAATTCATTATTTGACTTGAATAATAAATTGCCCCAATTATTTAGGGTCTTAGATCTCCCACTGACTGGGAAAAAGGACCTGTATGTGCTCGAGGGCTCTAGTGAATTATGCAACATACATCTTGATGATTTCAGTTTTGGTAGCATCCTAAAAAAATTGGAGATTGGTTTTTTCCTTACCAATTTATTAATTTTACCGTTATAATATTCTAAGACTAATATAAGTTTGTAAAGAATTGTTCGGAGTCAATACTTAAAAAAGAAAAAAAAAAGTACTGTTCAAGACCGGTATACCCACATTCTGACCTAAATATTGGGAGTCTTAACGTCTTCACCTCAAGGCTGAGGAGTTGTGTACCATCCGAATCTAATCGATTCATGTCCCAACCTGAGGACTTAGAACCTCAACGTTTTTGCGTCGAAGCTGAGGGGCTATGTATTGTCCTGATCAGTTCAGGTCCAGACTTAAGGACTTAGCGCCACAAGTCGACACCGAAGGGTTGTGTACCGTCCGGATCCTATCAGTTCATATCCTAAACTAAGGGCTAGGAATAAGACCAAACCGTTTTTTCTCTTCTTAGATATTACATATCCCCAAAATCATGTCTTTAATTAAGAGTGACCGAAAATCATGCATCAAGACAATAAAGTCATTTAGTAAACATAATTTCAGGAAATCAAGACCCAAGCTTATCGGGATTGAGGGATCAAATCTTTAAGATTAGGTTTTAGGCAGGTTTTTCACTCAATCAAAACTAGCTAAAGTCGTAACTATATTTGGCTAGAACAATTCGGAAATAAAACTTAAAGGACGACATTATTAACTAGAATGAACTTATTTATCGCATGACATTGCAATCGTGAATATACCTGAAGTCCAGAATGTCCATCATCCACTGCATTAAGAGCTGATTTTATCACCCGAATAGCTGTTGGACTGTTCCTCAGTATCTCCCGACACCATTTTATCGTTTCTTTCTCCAAATTCTCAAGCTAGAGCAAACCAAAACGTAGCATTCCCGGTAAGTGCGAGGCTTATGTTGGAGCAAGTGTTTCTCCTATTGCTTAAGCAGAGCTCTATTCCTTAAGTGTTTTTTAACAGTTTAATTACTTTTCCATTTTGTATTCAATAATGTACTTAAATAGAGAAGTGAGATTTCGGATTTCTTTCAACAAAAGGAGAAATTAAAATTAGAGTCAAATTCTCCGGACGAAAAGAACTCACTGGTACAACAGTGTTGACAAGGCCCATTTTCTCTGCTTCAACAGCGTCATAGAACCTTGTGAGGAACCACATTTCACGCGCTTTTTTTGGACCTACCTGTATAAATAAGATTGAATTTTTATCTTTGGATTGAAAATATCAAAACCATACAGCAAACAAAATCCAACACCATATAGAATAGCATAATCGTGGAGTGAATTATCAGCAAAATAAATAGGATTTGATTCTTACCAAACGAGACATGATAGAACTTCCATAACCAGCATCAAAGCTTCCAACCTTCCATAGGTACAAACACAAAAAATTACAAATCCATTATCAAATATCATTACAGAAGAGGGTGAGTGAGGGCAATATAACTTTGCCTTCATAGATTAAGAATATCTTCTTATATGCGTCCTGTATAGAAGGGAAAAGGGTTCAAGAACCTTAGGACCAGTTTGGCCAAAGATAGCATTATCTGCTGCAATAGTTAGATCACAGACCATATGTAGTATATGCCCTCCTCCAACAGCATAACCTGCTACCTGTTTTAATGTTAGAAAAACAGTTTGCATACAAAAAGAATAATAAAGAACAAAAAAACATGATGTCATATTTTTATTCATTAACTGGAAATTTGAGGATTGAGTTGTCGATGTTGAAATAACAGGTAAGGGGAGCTTATTAAATTTTTCAAAACTGAAATGCATGTTACACTAACCGTGAGTGACTTTTTTTTTTTTTCAAAAAAAAAAAAACTGGTTTAAAATATTAAGACAAAACAAGGGATTGAGTTTATGCATTGGATGCATATTGAGACACAATACAAACAACACAACATATTACAAACAATTGAGTCTCAGGACCCTTTTTGTGTTGTTAATTGTTTCATGACCAATCAGGCAATCATAGGACTATAAGTTATGTGTTACCCTCCGATTAATACTTAGTAAAATTTACTGTAATACTATTTGCGTTTTACGATATTTGTTTTGCATGCAAAAATTGTTAGAAGAACGGAAAGGAAAAGGGCTATCAGTCTTACTTAAATTTTCTTGCTGTGAATTTAATAGGTAACAAAAAGTTATAGTTTTGTGGTGTCCCTTAAGTTGTTTTACGTCCCTTATCTTTTTAGCATATATCGACCCTATCAACAAAGGTGCAGTGAGTACCATTGCAATCACTGGCTTAGGGAGGCGGCGTATTTGCACCTGCAATAGGAGAAAAAAATGAATAAAAAATAGAGTAAGAAAAGAACATTTTGTTTTCCATAACAAGCATTAACAATTGTCTCATTACAAATAATGGAAACCATACAATCGCGGGAGAATTTGAAGACTTATGGTTCACCGTGATAAATGGTTCAAAACAACAAAGGGATTAACTCGTGTAATGAATGGGAATCACTTCTTTTCACCCTACTAAAAAAATCTTAAATCAACCAATATACCTGCAAGTCTAACACATTAAGGTTACTAAAATCTCCATCATCAGAATAGCCATCGTCAGTCCTCAAAGCCTGGTCACCACCACTACAAAATGCCTTGGTTCCCTACAACATCAACATGTCATCATCTCAGTTAAAATTGAATGATCTTCACAATAAAAGTGCTAACATTTTTGCTTCAAGTATCAGTATTCAATATTTATCCAATAGCGATATTCTGAGATATTCTATCCTTGAACTATTCAAGTCACTAAAGAAAATATGAAAATGCAAGACTATATGATTAGAAGCATGTATAATATAGATGATAATAATAACATTGTTTCTCAATGAAGTTAAGAAAGGAAAGAGATTGATTTATAGTTTTTATTTGTTTTCATTAATGTCCTAGCACTTCTTAATTTGAATTTGTAAAAGTTAATTAAATTTCACCTTTTTAGGAAATCATCCGTGATTTGTTTGATTATTTAATAACATTGTATAGAACATAAATTAATAAATCCATAGTCAAATTTGATGATATTATATTAATAATGATGTATATTAAATTTCATATAATTTAAATTTTTATAAATGCATCATTTAATAATAAATATTTAGATATTTTTAGCTATCATGTTAAAGGTAAAAATTCAATGATGTGATAAGCTCCTTAACAATTTTGAAATGGTACGAAAATTTTGTATATTATACCGGTTAATAATAATCTAAAATTGAAGAATTTACATTCCTATTACGGTTTGATCTTCCAAGAAAGTATAATTATTAAATACACAAATTGAAGAAGGGAGAAGGAGTACTTTGCCAGTGAAAATGACGACTCCAATAGAGGAATCATCCCTGGCGTCAGTGAAAGCACGCATGAGCTCCTTCACCGTGTGGGGGCGGAAAGCGTTCCTTCTCTCTGGCCTATTAATACTTATCTGCAACAGAACACAACACAACACTTACCAGATGCGTTGCGATGACAGCACAGTAAGAAAAAGCAAAGAGGAGTTGAGAAAGTGAACCTTGGCTATTCCTTCCCCAACGGCCTTCTCGTACACAATGTCCGTGAAGTCCTTGGCGTGGTCATCGGAAGCGGTCCTCCAAATGACGTCGTGAGAGGGGACTTGGCCGTGAACGCGCCTGAAGCTGTTGTTGGCAGTGGAAGTGCGGGACAAGGCCAGCTCGGAGGGTGCGGTGTGAGAGGAACGGAGGTGGTTTGTTACAGAGGCGAGCCTTCTGATGGCGGTTTCGATGTCCTTGTTCTCTGCCATTCGATATCTGAGACTGATTGTGAAGATGATGATTTATTCTTTGGCATTCAACATTGTAGCGCTTGTACTGGCAATTGGGATAGGAATAGGATAGGGTAAAGTGAATGAAACAATTGAATCTGTTTGAAGGGGCATTTTTGAACTTAGCAATACTCTTTTTATTTTTTTATTTCTAAAGGTAATAATATCTACATGATACATATATTTAAATTATAAATTAAAAAAAATAATAATGCTAAATTGTTATTTATCATATGAAACTAAATAAATATCTAATACTTGGACATCACTTAATAATTTCTTTCTGCCTACCTATCGATCCAATGATGATTTCTTACTATTTTCCTTCGTCTGTGGAAAATCACAATATGTGAAAGTAGTGGCGATTTCACTATTTTGTATAAAGGAGTCATCTTTGACAATCTCTATCTGTTCCTCTTCAAATTGGAGTACGCATTTTCTTTAAAATTAGACAGTTTCAGAACACAAAAGATAAATACAAAGGAAACGTGAGATGTAACCCGAATAACATATGCATCAATCAAGACTTTGATACTGATTGAATTCTTCTTGGAAAGAAACATTTCATGTTTGCAACTTAATGAGGTACAATTTAACATATCAAAAGATGAATACCCAGAGAGAAGCTTGAATTTATGGTTGTTGTCTTAACCCAAAACTGTAAGCAAAGAAACAAGAGAGAACCTCTCAGTTGATGGCTGGGTTTTTTCACAATGTCGTGTATACAATTTGGGTACCAAATGATACCCAACCTATCATAAGCCCTTTTGTTTTTCAGTCGTTGGCAGAGTTACATTGAAGTTGGTCTCCTTAAGAGTCTTGGAGATGAAAAAAATTAAGTTGGAAGGAAAGGCTTCGTTAAAGATGCCCATTCAGGTTTTCATTAGAAGATTAATCATTGAAAAATAGTAGAACACAATACTCTTCCATCCCTGTATCAATCCAAACATAGCCAAAGATTTTTGGTTTGGAGGTGATTTTACAAATCTTTCTTATAACTTTTCATATATTTAGTTTAGTGTTCTTTCTCTAGATATAATGGAATTGACTACCTTTATGGCTCTATTATTTATTTTCCCTGTGCATTTCTTATTTCCTTCTGCTGTCTTCATGCGTTTCTTCATAATAGAGGTGCCAAAGTGAAGGTAAGTGTTTCTTCATACAACATTTAAACCAATTTTTCAGAAGGCAATAGAGAGAGACTGAATCAATAAGGGATTGTAATTTTGTGTTATGCTATCTTGCAACCTTCTTTTTGGATAATTAAGGGTTCAAGGTGTTGACATAAAAAACAAGAACTCACCATATAATTAGTGTAAAGGCATTATGAAAAAAGGTGTTATGTATGGTGATCCACCTTTTCTGGTACCTTGGAAGTTTCTTGATGATCAACCAGCTCCTTCCCTAGTGTGAAGGTACTTCGAGTTCCTCTCCTGGAGTGAAACAAGTCAATTCTTGTGGTCTTCCTCCCCTGCAAAAAAAGACTTTCTTAGGCTCTACACAAAGTTTGTGGAATTCCGCTAAGGCAATTACCAACTCTTTGGATTAAGGAGAGAGGCGATAGCAGCAAAAGAAGAGTACAAAGCCGTTTGGAGAATAGCAAAAATCATCTTCATGGTAGAATTATGTTATCTAAGGGGGAAAAACCCTATTTGCATCAAGATTGGGAAATCTGTAGAAAAACTCTTGATCATTGGATGGTTGTCTCTATAGGAAAACATTTCTTTGAACTTTCCTTTTCTTCTATTAAAGATTTGAGACGTGTCCTTGCGGTAGGATCATGGAGCCTTAACCCTGGAATCCTTAGTTTTTGCCTGGAGTCTAGATATCCATCCTAACATGGTCTGTTTATCCAATACACAATGTTGGATACATATTATGGGTTTCCCTTTGGAATATTGGCGTCTGGGTATCCTTTTCTCCATTTTGAGATGTGTGGGTCTACCTTTGTCTTTAGACGATTTCAGTGTATGCTAGGGTTCTTCTTCATATTGATACGAAAAACCCACTACTACCTGAACAAATCTTAGTTGAAAGAGAAGGATTTTCTTCTTTCGTTTCTTTGGGTTATGAAAGATTACTAAAATTTTGTGAAAAAATGTCAAAGTATCGGACATTCTATGTCTAACTGTAGAGAAAGGTACCTCCCTTCTCTTTAGGAAATCGAGTTCTGCATCTCAACTAACTTTGCAGCTCAGACAGCCTATCCAAGTTACACCAGCCTCAGAGCTATGACCCTAATCCGCTTCCTAGGAGTTGAAAATGAGTATTTTTGAAATGTTCTCAGTATGCACTACTCATGCTTGATGTTATTTGTGTGTGTTTGTTTATGCATTGCTAATTTTTCTTTGGTTTACACATAGTTCAGAAAACTGATGCGAGTATTTTTCTAAATCTGTATATAGCTGCCATATTTGAATTTGTAAAACTTGCAGACAAATATGGTCAATTTAACCTTGCCAACTGCGCCCGAAATTGCATGTTAGACTGCAACACAAAATGCTGACTGCAGCATGTTATGTTCTATGGTCAAGTTCTCTGATTGAAATTCCATAGTTATAACATTGTATAAAAAACGATATTTTTATTCATACATGCCAACACTCGTATTCTCACGCTCTTGCATATGCCACAGCTACAAAAGGCTGCCTATTATACTATTCTCGACCTCTTGCTAATAGCAGGGCCGGTATATTCTCACAATGATAAATCAGTATCACCCTAATGAAGAAAATTTCCTATATAGTAGGATTTTTACAATATACATACTTTATCTAGCAGGCTAAGCATTTTAATTTATGTTTGATCAACATAAATCATGATCTGTCTGAATCCGATTGTTTGTTGGCTTCCCAATCTGTAGACAACCAATTGGTGGGACTGTTGGAGTTTTCAATTCACCATAAGTCTGCCAGCAGAAAGGATCATATAGATGGTTTTGCTCTTGAATTGGTTTCAACTCAACAGAGGTTAAAGAAACATCTACACAAGGTAGGCTATCACTGCAGGCAAAGGTGACTGGCATAACTGTGTATGTCCCCCTTATCCTTTCATAGTTAATTCCAGCCAGAGACACAGCTGATGTTTGGTTTTTGCAGTTTCTTTTATCGCAGTAGAATTGGTCAATCACAATTGGGAATTGAACTTCAGAAACTTGTATATTTGAGAATAGTATTCCTTGTACAGAGCCTGATCCACCCTGCAGAGCAGATATCCATGTTAATTTGTAAGAGATGATTTTCCATCTAGTTCTAGAGCGGGAATGATGGGAGCACTTGGATTGTATGAAAATTTTGTCACATTTGATTGAATCATATTTAGCATTGATAAATAAAACACAAATGTTTAATTAATTGGATTATAGGCTTCAAGAAAATGCAATACTGCATCTTAGAGTAAGCTATTAAGTTTGGCAATTTCTCATATTACCTGAAAACTTATGTAGAAAACACAAAAATTTATGCTCCCAAAACTAAATCAGTTAACAGATTATTGATGTCATTGTAATGGCCAATCATTCTTTAAAATGATAACCTCTTCATGGTATAAAATGATTTTGGAGTCAAATTTTCTGGTTAACTTAGGAACAGATACTTTATTTTGTGACCTTCAACTTGGAAAACACATTGCGTTTCTTATATTTTACCTGCCATGTTTTGATTCTAACACCAGTCATTGTGTTGTGTATGTTGACGTCCCTGACAGTAATGTTCGAAACACAGGCTCTGGTGTTATCCTTTCCTAGACTTCCAATGCTGATTCCGTGCCCTGGTCCACAGTTGACATTGTGTACATATATGTTTGAGCATCCAGTTTGTATCGAAATACAGTCATCTCCTGCACAATAGTTGGAATTCAAAAACAGTGAGGCAACTTGGACCATTTATGTCAGTAAGTCTACGTAGTCTTTTTTCTTTTGTTTTTTTTTGTCCATTTGCAATCATCACCCCTCCCCACCCCAAGTTTTGGGGCTTGTAATGGACCACTGGATATTCTATTTTCATCCAGCCTCAGTTGCGTGTGAAGGACTGAAGAGGAATGTGAAGCAGAAGTTATAATTTCTAATAAGACAAGAGTGATGAGAGATATACAAAAACAAAAGCTCTTGTTTATGGAACTAACGGAGTACTATACAGTTGGATGATGCAATGTGGATTTTGCAGTTGACACGTGCTATGTAGCTTATGACTAGCAGGCAATGGAATTTTCTTTTGTTGCTATGTGTCCAATCTGGTTGTGGATAGGATAAGATAATGCCATGCTCTTTAAGAATCATAGAACATGCATATAACTTTTTTTAGTTCTCTTCTTTTGTCTTGAATTTTCATTTTCAATTTAATTTTGTCCTATCCACCATATTGCCCTCTTAATGAATTTTCAAATGAAATGGAAATGTGGCACAAGTCAATGGAAATATTACCGCAGGCCATACTGCTGCCATATATCAACACATCTTTGGAGTTCTGGAGGTGAATTCCATCAGTGTTAGGACTGTTCCCAGGAGATGATATGCTCACATCATGGACCAAGACCCCATTGCAGTTGTCAAACTTGAGGTGACATTGTGGACTATTTTGAATTGTTATGCCTGTAACTGTTGGATTAAAACTCCCATAGAACCGTAGTGCCTGTGCATAAAAATAACCTCCATTATATTCCAATAAGAACCGTAGTGCCTGTGCATAAAAATATGACTCAAATAGTTTTGTGAAAGGTTTAAAATGGTCCTCACAGTTGGCTTGACGGATGGCATTTTTCCTCCCAGCTCAGTTTGAATCTAGTACAATCACACAGGTATAATATAATTAGGGTCAGGTGAGTAACAAAATTGCCATGTAAGAAATTACAAAGCAAGAACAATACTAGCAACAACTTCTTCTTATAACACATCTCATTGTCATTTAAAATTTATCGAAAACTACAAATTACCGGCACTGGGGGACTTGGTACTGTCTGGTTTAAAGGGACTATGAGTTTTTCTTCATTATCTATAGGATCATCATATTGACTATCTTGCCACCACACTGAGCCTCTTCCATCAATGATACCATTTCCTTGAATGGTAATTCCCACCAACTTAGTAAATTCCAACCACTGTAGAAGTCCTCTGCCCCAAGCATTGGGGTTTGTTGGTGCAACAATGGTGCCATCAAGCTGACATAACATAACCTTATTAGCATCATTTCAACTGAATTGTCGGTTGCTACAGTTTGCGTAATGGACAGGGACAATCACGTGCATAGGTAAATACGTGAAAATATAAAGAACAATAGCAAGAGGTAGTTCACTTCTATTTTATTTTGTGGTGGTGGTGGTGAAGAGTTTGTCCTTGGTCACGTAATTCTGTCGTTTATGCTAGACGCATTTAACCATATTTTTCCATCATATGTACGATTTCTTGGTTAAAGGTTAACTGTCTCAGTCTTTTAATGTTTCTCATTTCAAGTGACTCTCTCTCTAAATTATATTTTACTGATAAAAAATATAAAGATTCAATTTTATCTTAATACTAACAATAATTAATATATGGAGATTAATACAAAAGATGAAAAATATTTTTAAGAGTTTTATTTTAATTTATGTAAATTTTACAACTAAGTAAAGTCACCGTAAAGTGTTACAAAATTTTAGATGTATCACTTAATATATATATTCACGAAAACTCAGTTCCATAGTCAAACACAAATTAGACAACTTTATTTTTCTTAAAAACTTATGTTATTCGTAACTTATTTTCTTAAATTCTTTTAAATAATTTACATATACTTTCTTTATTATCATATTTATATATTTTATTTATTTTTTAAAAATATTTTAGATTTTTAACTAAAATTACAATGATTCATACGAAAATGACAGGCATGTGTTCTGTCTTTACCAGAACGACAAAAATGTTGATGTTGTTTTCTGATGCCATATCACATTCGACTCATGAACACACTTGTGGGGTATAACGGTACATTTTTTTTCTCATTTTAACTTCATTTATTTTATTTTCCTGTTATTTTCTCTTTTTCTCTCTGTTCATTTCTGCTATTTTCTCTGTGTAGATATGTTACCTGGAAAACGATGTTGGGTTTACAGTATGGGCCGGAGAATGAAATGGGCCCCACAAAGAAGTTGTAGTCTGATGGAACGAGCATGGTTGATGCCTCTACTTTACAAGCTTCAGCCCAAGCTGCTTGAAAAGCCTGCATTGAATTTTAATGTTTAGTTGTTTCAATTACAGTACCAACTTGTACATAAAATAATGAGTATATAAAAAAAAACATTTCAAGTACCAACTCAATAGAAAAATCAAATTTAAATGTTCTAACATTATAATGTAGAAAGATTTCTGATCAATGGATAATTTTTTCTTAACTTTATTAATATGAGCGTGTTTAGCGTATTGAACTTGAAAACTTAGCCTTCATTTAGGTTAAGAAAAATGGTAATGGATGGAGTTGTGATGACTGATTGAAGACTCTGTTTGTCCTATTTGGAAAAGCATATGTTACCACGGTTGTGTTCTACAAACTAAGAATTGTTGAAGAAAATGTGACTTAACTGTCGTAACGAGAATCATTTTTTAAGTAGGTCCCACCCCTGTGGCTTGTTCTCGTGTCTTCACTTTTCTGTATTTTTCAGTATATATTTCGCTCTCATTCTATGTCACGGTAAACTTTGTTTGATGGCATAATACTAACCGAAGAATGAACAGCATCATCACAAACAGAAAAGACAGGAAAAACAATTTTTTATGCTTCTAATGGCCTATTATTTTACCCATTACCATGAACTTGGTTAGTTAAACCCCGATCATTTCAACTTAGGAAAAGAAAATTTCTAACATAAACCATAACCAAATCCCAATATTACTTGTTAAATGGGGAAGGTTTTAAACCGAAATTTATAATCTGGATTTTGAACATTTATGTAATCGCCACATTATTATAATCGGGCCACTGCACTTTTTACTAACATTTGTAATTGCATTAGCATAACTGTGAGCACAAAAGTAGTTTTGAATAATATAATGTTTTACAGAATTGTAACCACAAACAACATAAACCATTTTGGCCTCTACCCACTTTTCCCAGTAAATTTCATCATAACTTTGAAGTTCCCTGAATTCTACCAGGAACATGGAATTCTATGATAAACTGAAAATTCTTAGTCTTAGATGTTAACTGGTTAGCAGAAGTTACATTAAGAGGTTCAAAGAGTTACCTTTGTGTCATCAGTTTTTCCATCTCCCTTAGCTCCAAAATTTAGCACATTTAAGGTGGTGGTGGAAGGATGACCACCATTGTAAGCTTTTGGTGGTGGAGCTGAGGGGGTATCTTCATTTGATGGTGGGGGATATGGAGGTGAGGGAGTGTTTTTATGAGGTGGAGGCTTTGGTAATGTTGGAGTGCCTTTATGTAATGGAGGCTTTGGTTTTGATCCTCCACCATAGTTTTTGCTGTTGTGACCATTTCCATAGTTTTTTCCTTTTTTCTTATACACAGCAGCTGAGACATCCCTGCTGCTTTGCCTCCAGTGCTTTCCTCTTCTTGCAATGCAGGATTCAAAATTAGAAGACCAAATGAGAAATGCAATGATAAACATGTATGCGAAGCCCCTGAAACTCAAGCCACTCATGCTGGTATAGCTTCTGGTGAAATGTGAATCAAAATTCAGCAGAGAGCAGAGGACAGAGAGCAGAGAGAAGAGTGTGTGTGTGTGTGTGTGAGAGAGAGAGAGGTAATGGGAAACAAACACTGAAAGGTTCTTTGTGTTGCCAAAAAAACAAGTGACGGCTCTGTTTATATAAGGAGAACAGAACACTTCAAGGCTAATAATAATTGTGTAGGCAAATACAAGTAGATTAAAATATTCTTTATAATGGCAAGCATTTATGATTTCATTCTCCATTCTTCTTCCTTTTATCTTTCATTAATTAGTTTGTTTTCCTTTTTGTGAATTTTGGTTAGAATTTGTTTATTGGTGTTGCTATTCTCTTGCCACATACACAACAATGTCATTGCATGTGATCATACAATGCTGACAGTTATGGGGGCTACTACTGTATTTTAACCATGCCTTGTGCATGCCCTTCATAATTACCCTATTGGATGAACACTAAGACCAAATCTACCTGCTGTCTTTTCCAACTTTCCTAGCTTAACCTCATAATATTACCATAGTTGTTCTTTGATTAATCCAAATTACGAAAAGTGAAGACCAGCATCACAGAATGAACCATGTAACAAGTTATAGGTAGGTATAAGATTCACACACTAGCCAAAGATAAAGTTTACAGTCTCATTTTTCTCACTGGTATCAAGCACATTTGACTTGTTTGCTTCCTCCACACAAACTGTGCCTTAATTTTTATTAACTTGTATTATAATTAATGTAATGAATTAAGACTTTGTGGAAAATCCAAAAGGAAAATATTTCCACGTGAATGGGTCTATAAGGTGTCAATGGCACACAAATTGTCACAGGTCTTTTATGATCACGTGCAACCTTCACGGGCCAAGAGTTCTGTCACTTTGTCTTGTTAAGCCATGAGCCACACCTATATGGTCAGAAAGACCCTCCAATTAAGCATTTTGTGTGTTCCTGTTTTCCTTATTTAACCGAAAGAGAAGACATTGCTGGTGAACCACGAGAGATTGAGGGAAGTGAAGTGAGTGAATAAAAATAAATAAAAAAGCAAGCGATTGTACCAGCAAGGATGGATTTGTGAGAAACCATTCTTCACGCCCACTGATTTGCAGCATTTTTTCATGTATATGCTGGACAACATTTTCTGTACACACACATGAATAAAAACAAAAGAAAAAGTACGATATCATGCTCCTCCTGCACGAATTTCTGTGCGTGAGGTTTTCATATCTATTTAGGCCCCCAAAACAGAAAAAAGTGAAATATACTGCATAGAAAAAGGTTCACTAAAATCAGACAAGTGAACAAGAAAATTCACTTTCATCAGATCATATGTCAAAATCCCAATGTGAGTGGGGATCTCATTAGTTTAATGCATCACTTAGTGAAACTAATTCAGAGTTGGATCCAGTAATCAAAATTTTCATTCGTTTGTTTTTTACTGCTCCTCAATTTATAACACTAGACCACACAAGTTTCTCTTCCTCTTGTTTCTTATTTTGTCACACCCTCCATGTGTACCTCCTCTGCATAATGAGTTTTCCATGTATAAATATTCTGCAAGGTGTTACTACTGCAATCTAACTTTTACAAATGCTTCATTCACTGAGTATTAGGCAAAACTTTGATCAATGTAAACTACACAAGTCACGTGAAAGTGAGATTGAAGTAAAGTACTAAAAATGTAGGAGACAAAACTGTAGGCAATAAGTGTCCTGAAACATAATGTTAGTGTAGTTACATTATCAATGAACATTTAACTACATTTGGAATAACATTTTTTAAGTTATTTAACAAGTTAAAGAACTATATTTGTTTCAAAACATATATGTTAGAATAGACGAGAGTTAACTATTTTTTTTCTTTTGGGGTGACAATGATGGGCATGAGATGCATTGGACTATGATATGCAATCATTAAACATCAGATATAGGTTTCTGTTATTTCCATGTGTTTCCTTCATTCTCTGTGAGTTTCTCTTCACAGTAAATTGGCAGTCACATATTTACACAAATGCCACTGCTTGATGATGGTCACTCCCCATTCTCATCAACAGTGTTTATCTGTGACTTCATTGACCTTTATCACAAGTCCCATTCTTTTGCTTCCAACCATTTTTCTATCCTCTCATATCAATCATTAATCTATGTTCAAGTGATTCAAAATTGAAATATGCTAATGTCACTTTTCAGTATAAAATAAAGTATGTTGGAAGAAAAATATTCAACCAAGATTCTCAACAATATTAGTAATTCTTTTTCACGATGAATTATTTAATACGAGGTACAACAGTTATTTTATAGTATATATATGTGTGTACTTCCTAAGAAAAAACCAGCCACACATTCATTTGTCAATTCTGTTAATTTTGATTGTTACTTCATATATATTTTTTCAAATTTTTTACCTCTATTATGTGTGGTGACAAAATTCAGAAAAAAAAAAGAAAAAGAAAAGGTATAATTTATATGTGACAAGAAGAAGAGAGAGAAGGGAAAAAGGAGTACCACACAAGGTTCTTAGCCGTCTTTTTGTGTTAATGTTCTCGTGAACTATAAAGCCTTCTCGTGAACTTCATCTTCACGCACACAACTATGATTAGGTCCCTTCTCTTTCATTTTTATTTTTTTCTCAAATATTTTCAACGACCAACCATGCTTTCAACTCACCTCATCCCTTCATCAACCATACACTAATCTTCTATTCCTTCCTTTCCAACTTTCCACCAACTTCCTAAATACTCATACCCTATAATTTTTTTTTCCAATTATCAAATTCATGTCAATATGTACGGATTTATATATTCATAATAACGTGAATGAAATTTTTTGTACGGGTTTATCTCTAATCTTAATTATACCAACTTAATTTTGTTAAATATTATTGAAAATAAAATTTAATGTTCTTTTTAGGAATAAACTTATCCTGACTTTCCAGGATTTTATCTCTTATAATAATATCTATTAAGATCAATTCTTACGTAAGAGGTGTTATTTTTTTTAACTTTCACACGTAGTTTTGTCTTTAAAAAGTATCTCAATGATTAAGAGAGAATATTATATATAAATTATTATTAACCTTGATTTCTAAATGATGTGATACTCATAAATATACCTAAACATAAACTTCAATCAAAGATTGAGAGATATATATAAATGGAGCTAGACTTGATTCTCAGCCTTATGGTGAACGTTAATATTTTGTCTAGAAACAATAATATCCTATAAATAAATCCTAAAAATATTATCATAATAGACATATCGATGCCTTCTTACTCATCAACCCAATAATTAGTATATATTTTTCTTCTAACAAAATGGTTATGTTAAATTTATCCTTTAATTAAATACAATAAGCACATATTGCAAATAAACTTTTTGTCTCTTCTTGTTTTCCTGATAGAAATTTGTTTAATTATATACATCTCCGATTAAGAGTATAATAATACTCATTAGATACTGTGCAACTGTTAATGGTAGCGTCATATTGTCGTTTTCTGATCTAATTAATGCACAATCATTTTTAATGAAGAAAATTAGAATGTACTGTAAAAGATATTATATACCTCTACCAGCATTTATTTTTAAATTTTGGTACGTAATCCAAGGACATAATTTGGAGATGAAAAAGACCTATAATGTGACAAATTCGGCTGCATTGCATCAATCATATATATATATATATATATATATATATATATATATATATATATTTTTTTTTTTTTTTTTTTGTCAATAATGTCATATTATTTTTCATAATTTGGAGTAATCCAAAGGCTATTTTGTCTGGGTTTCTTAATAAAGTGTAAGAACATTGTATGAAATTTTTAATATAACTAAAAACAAAAATCAACATTGCATTTCCCTGATCTTGGGACGCAGGAGAGTGTGCTTGGTTAAAAAAGCATAAACATATACGTGAAAAAAGTCCATGCATGGTGGTATCATTCTTCTTGAGATGAAGATGCCATTATGATTTTTTTTTAAAGAGAAGGAATTGGTCCATTATAGCAACAATTGGAATCATCATTCCCTACACAATAAATGCAAAAGTTTGTGTAAAATGTGGGTAGAGCTTTTGGTTCACGGATCTTTCTAGAATTTGAAGACTAACAGAATCGTTTTAGATTTCAAAAACAAGAGTTTATTAATGAAGCAAGCGGAGATGCAATGGAAGGATTGGAGAATTGTGATTGATGGTGGTGGTGGTGGTGGTGGTGGTGATGTTATAGTTTGTGGTGCATGTGAGTTTTTAGTTGGAAGAAAGCCCCATTTGTCCATGTGACTGATCTTAAAAATATTGATTAAATGAATAAAGAAAAGGTAAAAACAAAAGGGTTTTGTCCCCATCGCTTTGTTTGTATCCCTACGAGCCTTGTGTTGATCATCGAATACAAAAAGCTATTTTAGCGATATATTTATATATATTTATTCACGGATGAGTTAGAGCCCCCAAAAGGTTTGGGGTTGCTCAATAATTTGACGGAGGAAAAATGTAATGTGTTAAATGTTGGGCTGTAATGCAGGTGCAGGAGCCTTATCACACGGCTGAAAACGTGACAGCATCCATGTGCCCTTTTAGGTTTTGCTTCCGTGGAATGTTCATTGTGTCATTTTAGATCAGAGCTTCCATAATAAGTAAGCTGTGACATGAACATGTTCTACATTTTTGCAGCAAAGGGAAATGCCGTACTTCTTCAACATCAACAACATGTACTACAATCGCTTCTTTTCATAATAATATTTTCAACAACAAAAAAGAGAGTATATTGTATCATTGTTTAATCAATGTGTATATATATATATATATATATATATATATATATATATATATATATATATATATATATATACATTCTTTCCTGTTATGAAAAATTACTATTGATTTTGTCCTGTTCACTCAAAAATCACATTATTTACTCTTTATATATAAAATTTAATTATATATATGATAAGTACAAAATTATAATAAAAATATGAAGTTTGAAAGTAAATAATAATTTATTTTAATGATATAAAGTTGAAATTTTAACTTTAGAAAGTAAACATTCACAATAATTAATAAGAGTAAGAATTACATTATTCTCTTATAAGCAGCTACATTATTGGTGTACTTCTATCTCTTCTTCTAAATAATAATTTGATTGGTCTTAACAAGGTTATATTCAAAACATTAACCATTAGTTTGAACCATCATGAATTAATAATACTTACTCATAACTCTTTTAAATTGATTGGTGCATCATTTTAGTGAAAAGTTGTTGAAGTCAATACAAGTTGTTCTTACAAAAGAAAAAAAAAATCAGTAAGTAATGTGATATATTAAGAATAACCAAAATTTCATATTAAAAACAGAAAATAAATTAATATAAACCCAGAGCATTTAGATTTTCATAATTTTTCATTTTAACTGATGAATTTTTGCTATCCACTTACCTGGACAAAGCTGTGCTTTGGTGTATGAAAATAAAGTCGTCCAAAAACCAGAAAGGAGTGTCCCAAAGAACATCATCCATTTGTTAGATAACAGAAACGCAAAACAGGACCCTTAAATTTACACATGGAATATTCATTTATTTTTTGTCTCTGCAGCCATATTTATCCAACCTGATCCTAAGTGAAGATGCTGAGAACCCAAATAGATGAACATGTAATTGAGAACCCACGTGGCGTGGACCATTATGGACATTTCAGGTCTCAGTCCACTGCTTTTGAGCTTTGGAGTTGAAAATTAAGTTTCAAGATAACGTTTTGTTGGGAAAGTGTGAAGCCAAGAGTACACTTTGAAGCCTAAGATAAGTGCAGGCTTGGGAAAGTGTTGTGTGCTTCACTTGAAAAGACTATTAAACAAATCTAAATCATTTTAAGATATTTTGAATTTGAGCCCAGTTTCTTCAAAAATCTACATTTGTTCATGGTATCTTCACAACATTGGTGGACATACAGACAAGGGTTTATTTTGAAAACTTCTCTACAAATATTTATAAAGCAAGAAGTGTATCATAATACTATAAAACAATATGAATTGCAAATATTGTAAAAAATTAAATGAAAAAACAGTTTAACTACATTTTATTTAGAAGTGTATCATAATATTAATTATTAAACTAGCTAAACAATGTAAATATTTTCAAAAATATTTATGTGTTTTATATAAATTCTATTTTATATTATAAAATATCTATTTAGGTAATTAATGTTAGTTTCTTCACATGAAGGTAAGTATAATACCTTCATTGAATGTTTTAGCTATAAGTCTAGTATACATAATTATCAATCCATTACAATTTTTTTTAACAACTATTCACTTTTTAAAACAGTAATAGTTAAAATTAATTAGTATTTCATATTTTTTTATCTAACTTGTCAAAAATCATGTTCTTTGATTTTACTAAGGACAAAATCTGAAATACATTGTTTTGTTGAAAAAAAATATATATATATATATATATATATATATATATATATATATATATATATATATATATATATATATATATATATATATATATATAACATGATACCAAACAAAAGACATATCATTTCACAAGAAAAAGAATCTTTAAAAAATGTCTAAGATGACAAAAATAACAAATTATAACCTAAATAAAATAGTAAAATAAGCTAGTTTATTAAAAAAATTACTTTAGTTAAATTAACTAAATAAACACTATCTTAAAGTTTTCACCATTAATTATAGGTATACAAGGTAATTTCTTAGGCCTTTTTATATAGGTTAGAAAAGAATGTCATGAGGCATTTCTTTTGTTATCAAACAAAAGCAAAATGGATCTTCTTTCAGACAACGTGGGACTTTGAAAAGGTAAAGTTTTGAAACTCTACCAACAACACATTCTATTAGTATCATCATTTTGCTATGATAGATGCGATTGTCTTATAAGAATAACTTTATTTTTTGGATGGCACCAACCCTGGGCCTATTTGCTTATAGCGTTGGCATAGAAAGCAATAAAGCCATTCAGCAGAGAGCAGTGAAGAAATAAATTCATCTTTGTTCTTTTCCCGTTTCAATGTATTTGTTGTCCCAATCGATTGCATTGCATGGTCTTTGGACCACACTGTCAATACCTTGCACTTGCAGGCAGGTAAACTGTTCTGCAGAATTCATGTGTTTGTCGCTTTGCAGTGTGACTGGAAAACGAATATGAACAGTATTTAATTCGTGTCAGTGATCATAGGGTTTCTTATTTGTTCATGTATGTAAACCATTAAGTAATAATAAATATGACATGAGGCTTATTAATTATGTTAGCATCATATCTAATTTCATTTCAAGAAAAACTCAAATAATAATAATGATTGCATATACTGAAATTAAACTAGTTTTTGCATCTTTAAATCAGAGAAAGGACAAAGTTCTGTAATGGGACTTGGTCCTGCTTAGGCCCAAGATAGTTCAATGCAATTGAGAATGTCAGAGGCGAGGAGAGTTTACTTACTACCACAGTTAACATAAATATTATGCAAGTTTCAATTTTTTTGGTGGAAGGTTTAACTTCGAATGTAGCTCTTCTTGAATATCTACTTTCCTCAAGTACCAAGAAAAAACAAATCCAAAAACATGATATTAAGGACTAGTGACACAAATTTCAAACAAGAGTACATAAAACATCACTGTGTGAACACTAGACTATTAAAATAAAATCTCAATCAATATTATAAAATTCGATGTCTCTTTTCTTTGGAATCAATTTTGTTGTAGTGCCTAATTATTATATAACCAATACATCCCCTGATTTGTCTATGATCTCACCTCAAGCCTCCTCCAGATATACTACTGCTACGTGATATCAAGCAAGCCTCTTACGTACCCCATTTGATATAAAATTATAATAATAAAAGGGTTACAATATAATGCATCTTTAGAGGTTCATGAAACTTATAGTTCAGTGTGACGAATATCCTCCACCATAGTTGATTCTGCAACTTGAGAGATTTTGTCGGTGGAACTAAGGCAATCAGCAGAAGGGTGCACCACCCCATAGGGAAAACCTTGAGCTGAGTGGCAATATGTTTCAACCGTGCCATCTTGTTTATCTAAGTCCACGTTGCTAAGGACTAGTTTGCTGCATGGGCTTGTGTCACTGCAGTCAAATTTAATGGCCTTAGCACTAATTGTAGTGCCACTAATGTTCTGGTACATCACCTCGCTTATCTCCACAGCTGATGTCTATACAAAGAGTTCATAACATGACAAGATCATTTTTAGAAGAGCATTTTAGGTCTATGGCACTAAATTCATTGGATTTGTCAACTCATTCTAGAGAAAACATAACTATAACTAATCATGTCCTCGTAAATGAGTTAATACCTAATGATATAATTAGTCTTAGGTGTGTAATTTTTTCATAGACTAAGCTTGAAAGAGAATCTGGGAACTGGTAAACTGTACCTGGTTCTGACAACTAGATGGTGAATCACAGTAAAATTGGTCTATGATAATGGGGTTGGATACATTCTCCACTCTCACATTCTGGAAACGCACCCCTCGAACATATCCGGAACCTCCCTATGTGACAGGAAAATAAAGAGAACATATGTAAGCCATTCTCACGTATATTATTTTCCGCAAGTTATAAATACAGGTAAGAAATAATTCTAGGATTTGAAATTATCAATTGTTTTGTTTTGCTTGACTATATGCTTAAAATATATATCATATTATTACAACCATTCTATTTGAGTTTCCCCATTTGGAAATCAAAATTATATTTGCAATTGATTCAAAATATAACTTTAGCATTTAATGAAAATAATTAAGTCAGTGTTAATTACTTTGCAATTTTTTATTCAAATTATTTGTAATGGGCAATTAACTAATATCCACGTGAAAACAAGGAAAATATTAATGACATTAAAAATTTGTTGAAAGATTAAAACAATTTTATCAAGATTGAGATCTAAGAATATAACCTGCCAAGTCTTAATTCTGAGACCATTGGTAGTCTCCCTGAGAACTGCTGTATCCAAAATCACTTTCGAGACGATGCCAGTTGAGTTGTCTTTGCCAAGACTTCCTATGCTGAAAAATAGAGTTAGAAAAAGGTAAAAACTACTTGCTCAAAAAAGATGTTCCAGAAACAGATACAGATTTTCATTTTTGCCTTGATTCTATCTTAGCAAGAAAAGGAAAAAAATTTAACGTAACAGATTAAAATAATGAAATCATCATGTGTGGTTCATGTAACCAACGCTTGTCCGAGAGAAAAGGGAAAAAGTGAAATGATAGATAGAAAAAATTCATCTGTTCATTTAAAGTTTATGACTATTTTGTGGAGGAAGTTATGCTACAAGTGCAAACAACCATACTATACAAATAGGAATGTACCAAACAAAGGGTGACGTGTAATTTTAAATTAAATGGAGGCATGAAGAATAGATGAAACCTGATTCCATGTCCTGGTCCACAATAAATTCTCTTCATTTTGATATTAGAGCTAGCATTGACAATTGATATGCAATCATCACCTGAATATATTACATGCGATTATGAAGTGGCAAAAACACAACTGGTCAGTATCCTTCCTTTTTAATCTGTATTTCAATGGCAGAAATCTAAGCACAAGAGTAAAGTTCACTTCTTTTTTCTCTTTATTCTTTTTTAGTGTGTCAGTGTGTGTTTTAAATTCCTTTTCCAAGTTAGCTACTGTATTTCTTTGTTTCAAAGTCTGTGAAGGGTAAACCATACTATTGTTTCTATTGTTCAGCTAAATGGAACTTTAAGTTGAGGAAGAAGTTCAGAACCTGTTCCGATTTTGCTGTCTTGGATTATGACATTTGTTGATTCACTAATATGGATTCCGTCAGTGTTTGGACTGTCTCCAGGTGCTGACACTTTAACTCCATTAATTCTAACAGAATCACATCGTGATATTGTAAAATGCATCTGTTGGCTATTCTGGATTGTCAGTCCTTTCACCCTTATGGATGTACTTGTGTCAATCGTAAATGCCTGCAATGACATCTCGAAGTTAAACTACTTAATTATTTGATGATCTCGATTTCACATCTTGCAAAACCTTCTCGAAAATAGAAGACAAGAGAGGTGAGGAAAGTGGTTCTTACTGTTGGTGCACCTTTGCAAGGCTGTGACAAAAAATAGGAAGAAAATCAGTAAGTTATCATAAACTTGTAAAATATCTAAGACCACTTTTTGGGGAAAATTACATTTGACTTGTTCTTTTTGCAAGATGCTGCCCACCATTTACTTCCTGAGCCATCAATAACTCCAGAACCTTGGAAAACAGCTTTATTCAATTTGGAAAAATCAAGCCAAACCCGTGGCAGATTTGGATCCCAGTTCTTAGGCTCATCTGGGGCAACCAATGTACCATCAATCTGGAAATGCAGATACTATGTCAATAATCATAGGACAATTAGTAAATCTATATATATTTATTTGTTTGATCACCTGAATGATGAGATTGTCTGCACAAGGCCCTCTGAATCTTGTTGCATTAACTAGGTAACGGCGACCTTGAGGAATCAACAAAACAGATTTTGGTGTAGAGCATGCAACTCCCCATGCTTTTTGCAAAGCCTGATAATCACGAAAAGAGAATGGACAAAACATTATTACAGAATGAATTTTCTGGTCGATCAATGATGCCTGACCTGATTGAGGAAAACAATTTGCCTCTGTTCAACGTTGTCAAATGAATGAAAGTGCTTCTTGAGCAGAGTAAAATTAATGATATGCATTTACAAGCCCTGGCACATAATATATATCTCATCAATAATAATGAACGAACTTACCTCAGTATCATCAGATTCTCCGTCACCAGCAGCACCAAAGCTATCAATATTAACAAGAACTTTTCCACCGTGCTCGCTTCTCAATGAAGAGATGTCAGAAAGTTCTACCTCTGCTTCTTCTTCTATGTCTAAAGACTCCAGGCTTTTAAGTTCTTCAAGCATGCCAATGTTGTCACACATCATGCTTCCTGCAACTCCATCAGCTGCTATGAGCAAAGCTAGTATAGAAACAAAGAAGAATTTGTCCATGTTTTGCTCCTGTTGGTTGTATTGCAAGGATTGGTTGATTTGATTAATGCGAATGGTTATAATTTATATGCGTAGATTAGCTCTGAAAAATGAAGGATTTGGAGGGGCTTTATGGCTTGGCTTGAAAGTGGATGAACGTGTAACATTTTCTACATGCCCACACTTAAAGTACAAGGAAAAATATTTTTGTAGTATTTTGCTTTACTCATCAACCAATTACAAAAGTCACAAGTAATAGCCACCATTGCACTATCTCCACTCTGCCGCCCTGAAAGAGAAGTGAATGACATATAATCTAAGATTCTTCTTGCATATTCCACTCTATCTCAAATTGCACTAGCATAGAGGCATAATAACAAGCGGTACATGAAAGGGGGAAAATATTTTTCTATTTTTGGAAGCTGCCAGTTAGTTACACCAAACATGGGAACACAAATGCCGACCCTCATTTTTTTCGCATGCTCACACCGAGAATCTTTCCCTTAGATTGTAGGATCGCCCCAATAGACAAGACCTTACTATCTCAGGAAACATCTTCGTCAGCTCAGCAAAATGACATGATTGTTTTATGTTGTGTATATAATGGGACTAAAATGCTTCATCAATTCAGGAACGCTATTTTCCTCGGTCACACTGTCTTATCTCGATTAAACTATGACCAATCTCCCTAGTCATCTTCCTTGCTAGAGCAACCTCTCTGATTTGCCTTGACGCATCGAATTTCCCTATTTCAGCATAAAAATTTGAAGCTTGCAACCACACTGCAGGATCATCTGGATCTAGCTCAACTAGGACTTGTGCTGCTCTTGTTCCGATCTCTTCATTCTTGTGGACCCTGCAACTTCTTAGCAAAGAGCTCCACATAAAACAGTCTCTTTTTCCAGGTGCCTGTAGCAGCAGCTCTTCAGCTTCATAGAGAAGTCCTGCGCGGCATAAAAGATCCACCATGCATGAAAAATGGCGGCGATCTGGATCGACCCCATTAAGAGATTTCATTGACTCAAAGATTACTCTTCCTTCATCAACTAGTCCTGTATGGTTACAACAAGTTAGAGCACATAAGAAGGTAACTTTATCTGGCTTTAGTCTACTCTCAATCATAGCTTGAAGCACAGCAATTCCTTCTTTCCCCATTCCATTTCGAGCATACGCATTGATCATGGATGTGAAGCAAATAGCATTTGGAGAAGGAAGACTCTCGAAAATTCGATGAGAAAGATCCACATGCCCGCATCTTGAATATGCATCCATGAGGGAACAGGCAACTGCAGCATCGCCTCCAAGTCCAGATTTTAATGCATAACAGTGCAGTGACTGGGAACTCGTAAAACTTGGTAAAGGAGACACTGACAATGCCTTCAGTGTGGTTGATAAGGTTACTTCATCCGGGGCAAGACCCTCATCGATCATCAAACCAAGCAAATCAATCACGTCCTCAACGGCTTCACAATGAGACAAAGAGGTCATCAATGAGTTGAAACACTCCAAAGTTCTCTTGGAAAGGCATTCAAATACAGCCACAGAACTCTCAATGTCTCTGCACTTTCCATACATATCAATCAAAGCAGATTGAACATGCACACTCCCTTCATCAAAACCCAACTTCATTACAAGACAATGAGCCTGCTTCCCAAAACAAAGCTCTCCACTTCTACTACACAGATTTAAAAAACCCACCATCGAACGAATTGATGGTCTTTGCCCCCACAGTTGCATGAGACTAAACACCTCAAAAGCTGCACACAACAAACTATTTTCAGCATAAACAGAAACCAACGAGTTCCAAGAAATAACATCCTCATTTCCTATGGCCTCAAAGCACTTCCTTGCACCAACAAAACACCCAGACGCAGAGTAAAAATCCACCAAAGCATTGGCAACAAAAACGTTCGATTCCACCAAACCTACCTTCAAAACGCACCCATGAATCTTCTTTCCTTCATGCAACCGTTTCTGATTACCACACCCCCTAAGCAAATAACAAAACGTAACCCCATTTGGCTCCACACCTTCAAAAGGCATCCGAGAGTAAAGCCTCAACAAGTCTTCCACTTTCGCACGACCCAGCTCACACAACCCACGCAGCATTACATTCCACACAGCCAAATTTCGCTCCGGCAACTCATCAAACAACTCCAGTGCCACTCCACTTAGCCCCACCCGCGTGTAAAACCCAACAAGTGCACCGCCAACGAACACGTTGCATGAAAACCCGAGCTTGACCACCCTGCAATGCACCTGAACACCTTCTCTGAAAAAAGCGACGTTGGTGCAAACCGCTACAACAGAGGAGAACGTGGTCGGGCTTTCTCTTATTCCAAGCGAACCCATTTCGGCGTAAAAACGAAGAGCGTGTTCTGGTTGCTCACGGAACCCGGAAATTATCAAGTTATAGGTGACAGAATCACGCAGTAGCATGCTGTGGAACAGAGCAAGTGCAGAGTTGAGGTCCCTGCGTTTTATGAGAGAGTCGAGTTGGCGGTTCTTGAGGTAGACACAGTCACTGGGAAGAAACGTGGGTGGAGGCATTGGTGTAACAGTTGTTATAGCTCGGAGGAAGGAGAGGAATTGAGGCTTTTGCATCCAACAGTGACACCACGCTTTCAGCGTTGAAACCAGCATTGAACTGAAACTTGGAAAATTTTGTGAAGAGCGCCAAAACTATTCCAAGTTCGAATTAAGGATTCAACATTGACTATGAGTCTCTCACATTTTGTAAATCTAAAATTAAAATTTTGGTAGTGTAAATATTATTAATTTTTTTAACAACTACCTGAAATATCATGCCAAAAATGATTTTTTTTTATTGATTTATAAGATAAAACTTTTTTTATTCTAATAATCATGCTTATTAAAGTCGTATAATAATCAACACCTTTTTCTTGTAAAAGAAATTCAATAACTTGTAAAATCTCCAACTACGTATGCAAGTAGTTTCCTTTGGAGACTACAAACTATTTAACTTATTAAATACATCATCACACTACATGAATGGGGCACCTTTGTAAGTATTTTATTATGGTGAAAATCTATTCTTACCAATTATTATTTATTTTGAAATTCTATTTCAAACAATTTTATTCCTAAAAACACATTAAGAAAAGAAATATATATAATCTATCAGAATACCTAAATTATTCTCTACTCTGAATTTATTAGCTATATAGACCATGAACAATAAATAATGATGTGTGAAACGTAAAATAAGAATAAAAAATTGATACAGAAATTATTTTAAAATATTTTTTTAAAAATATAACTTAAAAAAAAATAATTTTTTTATCTTATATAAATTATGTCAATTTTAAATAATAATAATTTTATTATATTTTACTCTTATTTTCATGTCTATAAATTCTTTACATAAATTCCCTGTTTGAAGGATTCAAAAATAATAAGATAGAAATTAAAGAATATTGATATAGTGATGTTAATTGTTAAATTAATTCTTTAAATTGAAAATTCATAACACTGCTAATTTGCTAAAATATGCAACTATGAGAGACAATAAATCCACTTGAATATTTGTGAACAAGAGACTTGATGAAGTTATCTTTCTTGAGTTCGTTATAGAAAGAAATTTTTAATCTATTTTGAATATTTGAACAATTAATAATGCAGTATGTTTGTTTGAACTTTTCTTTTTAATTAAAATAATTATTTATTATGATTTTTAACATATTTTGATAAATTATTTAAAAGTAGAATAAAAAAAAACTTTATAAAATAAAGCTGATGCAATAAAAGAGAGAACTTAAAAAATAACATTAAAGTTTATATAAAATCATTCAAATATGAATCACAGTAATCACTTCTTTTTAAGCATGAAAAAATTCAGAATGTTGTAGATTGATCACCCGATCCAAGACAATAATTAAAATTAAAAAATAAAATCAATCAAAATATTTTTTAAATTAAAAAATTGATTTGAATTTCATATTAATACTAAGAATAGAACTAAATAAAACTAAGTTTCTATTATATTTAAACATAATATTGTATATTTAAAAGTAATTATCAACTAATAAATATACCTTAAATATTTTAAAGATTGTTTAATAATTTAATGGTATTTTATTCATAATATATTTATACTTATTAAAATATAATAATAAATTAAATTCTTAATTATAAGATTATATAATTTATTTATTAATAAAATAAAAAATTTGAAAATATAACAGTAATAAAAAAATATAATATATCTCTTTTTCATCATAAAATGTTTAATAATTTTTGTTATATAAAAATATTTTACAATTTTCTGATAAAAAATATAGTAATTTTATAATAATAAAAACTATAAACCAATTTAAATTAAACTATGATTAATATTTGCATCTGATTTGAGTCACTATTTAATAAAAAAATAACTAAATCTGCCAACATGTACCGAACAAATGACAATGATAATCAAATACAATTTATGGTCCATTTCGATTTCACAACACATCACAAATAGGATTTTGAACAAGATTAAAAAAAAAATCTTTAATAACGATTCTTTAACCATCATTTAAGAGAGGAAGTTTTTCATACAAAACAAATTAAAAACATATAGTCTTTATAAATTAAATTATATTATAAATTACAAATTATGTTTTGCAACATATTTTACAATATAATCTATTATATTATGAAGACTCTTTTATCTATAGTTATAATAATTGATTGCCGTAACGCTTATGATAGTGAGTTAACGTTTTAAAATATTGAATTAGATTTAATAAAATAATATTTTTATAATATAATAAATATATGATAAAATAATTAATTATAATAATTTTAAAAAATAATAAAATTATAATAATGTAATTATTATTTAAAGTTGGGAAGATAAATATAAAATTAAAATTAAAAAATGTTATAATTGTTATAAAAAAATATATTTAAAAAATTAAAATTTTGACCTTTTAATTTTATTTATTTTTTACCAACAGTTGGTTTAACTAAAAGGTTGAATCGATTTTTTTAATCTTATCAATTTTTTTCATTTTATATAAACTTAATTAACATCTAGTTATTCTAAAATAATATACGAGGTTTTAGATCTGTTTCTTATTGAACCGAACATTCCGGTCTGTAGTTTAAAATCAGTCTATCAACTCGTAATTTTATTTTATTTCAAACACACAAGGTGAGTTCTGAGTGAAGATGAAAGTAGAGAAGGAGTTTTGGCTTTTACAAGGTTGTTCTTTTCTTTCTTTTTCTCTGGGTCACGCAGCTTTTAAAAGATTTGGATCGATACAAGCACATGCAATAAATGAACAGGTAACATAGAGGGACCATCCTTCAGAGTAAAGCCAAAATTGTTAAAGTGGGAAAAAGTGAAATGAAGAAAATTTCAATGTATAGTACTAAACAAATATACATGTGTGTGTTAGCCAGATTCATAAGAAAACAAATCAACAAGAGAAGTATATAGCGGCTCTTGAGTCCCACCAACCATGCACCTTTCATTCATGTTATTTGTAGGATGTGGCCATTACCATGACTTATAAAGATTCCTTCTGCATAATTTGGTTCTTTGTCATAACAGCATGGTCCCATGCATTCTAGATTATACCCATGATGCATGTCTGCCGCAAAGAAAACACAGCAAATTTTCATATTAAATTTTCCCTGTAATGTGTATGAAGTTCATGAAAGGAATGCTATGCATTTCAAACATACTGTCACTAAGATCTTCATCAAATCCCTGATAACAAGCCTTTCCACATGCACATCCAAAAGACATTGATATTTTCATCACACTAGAAACTGTGTTTACACCACTTTTTACATTTTGTTAAGATACATATTAAGAAATAGTTTGAATGTAAATAGTATAACAAGTGCCTATAAGCTCGATCCAATAAGAAGGAATAGTGATGCATGCCTAGAGAGCACCGAAAGTGAGGAGATTCCTTTTTCAATGGTCAATTACTCTTTCTGTCTTTCACGAAAGACAAATCCTAAGATGTCTATTTACCTTCTCATGTTGGACATGTACCCTTCTAAAAACTTCCCTTTCCTTCTTAAGGAGAACTTTCAACACTTTCAATTTGATCTAGGACAAGGAAAGGGCTTGAGAGTGTACGAGTATCAATGAAAGAGAAAACAACACATGAAACAAACAAATTCTTTAAGTCACTCTGCAAAGTACCACGGAACTTTGTGCCACTGAGTAATTTATCATGAGTTTTTTCATTAATGCAGAAATATTTCACTTTTTTAGCGAATTACTCACTTTGAATGGGTCAAAGGTAAATATCACATGTGAATCAAATATGCCAATAGGTAAAGCTATATCATAAACCATCTTCTTCAAAGGGGTGTGACTGTAATTTTGGCCCTCAACCTCTAAATATCATTAGAGGGTTGAAAAACTTAAACTCTCCTGGTCCTTAGCATCAATGTTGGCAATAAAAATCACCATTAAGTACCCTACCTCAAATCATTAAAGGAAGAGACAAATTATCTGTGTGCAGTCTCCACTTTCAGCTATAAATTCTTACTTGTGTACAACGAGCTACATCTTCAATCTCTCTCCCTCTCTCTTTCTCATACCCTTCACACACCTGCAGGACAACCATGTCAACAATGAACCATCTTTTTGATCTTCCAGAACAGATATGCTACGTACAATGTGGATTCTGTACCACCATATTAATGGTAATGAGTTCTCTAGCGAGCTAGGTGCATGCCGTATTGAAGTTCATGGGTTGGTTTTAATTCTTCTTTTCCATATTTCTGTTACCAATTCAATGTTGTGAGGTGCAGGTAAGCGTCCCATGCAGCGGTTTGTCAATGTTGGTAACGGTCAGATGCGGCCACTGCACAAGCCTTCTCTCAGTTAATATGAAGAAAACTTCCTTTGTCCCTTTCCACCTTCTAGCTTCCTTTACTCATGTTGAGGTGATCTTGGCTACCTTTCAATTCCATGTCAACTCTTTAATGCTAATAGTAGTTGTTGGTGGTGAATCCATTGACCCACATATTTACTTTCAAGTTCAAATGCATGCTCTTGATCCAAGAAAGCATCACGATTTTTAGTTTTAGTGTTTATAAAAAAAAATGTATTTTAGTACCTGACAAGGCTTTAAAACTACAGTTTAAAAATGAATAAAAGATTAAAATAAAATAAAAATGATATTTCAAGAAACAAAGAACATATTTAAACCTTATTGTTAACTCGAAGGAGATTAACTTTTTTTAATGCATTTGTTCATATCTCTACTCCCCAGGCAAACGAAGGTAGTTCAGAAGATGGTGCAAACAAGAGTTTGAACAGCTATAATGCATCCATAATGACCTATTCTGACTGTGAGGAAGAGAACATGCCTCAAACTTCCAATGTTGTGAATAAACGTACGTAAAAGCTTTTTGAAGCAAGTTTGATTCTGCTCCCTTATAAATTTATCTAATTTGATGACTGGAATCTTTTCAGCCCCAGAGAAGAAACAGAGGACACCATCTGCTTATAATCGCTTCATCAAGTAATGTTTTAACAACACAAAGTTGTGTGCATACATGGAGTACAAAATAAAGCATAAATTTAAAACTTTGGATAATTCTAACGTTAATATAAGTCAAATGCAGAGAAGAGATTAAAAGGCTAAAGGCTGAAAATCCTAACATGGCCCACAAAGAAGCTTTCAGCACTGCTGCAAAAAATGTAAGGCTTTTGAATTCCATAGTAACTTGTCGTGAAGAAACGTACTTTTGTTAGCTAAAAGAATAGTGAGTATGTTTATATGTTTTTGGTGATTTTTAGTGGGCCAATTTCCCCCCTTCTCAGTGCAAAGGAGAAGCAGACAGATGTAAACTTGTGAATCTGGACTCCCATATACAGTCTCCTCATGCTACTCAGGTAAAAGCATAAAAAAAAACTGAAAGCTGAATGTGTAATCTATGCAACTTTATTGACAAAATAATAAACTTATATAGATAATTTCTTATATAGTGAAATCAACCTGATAGGTTATTTTTCTCCCTAATGTTCTTGTGTTTCTCAGAAATTTCACATAATTTAGATGTTCGGATTAAGAGTTTTTTTATATACCTTTTTTCTCTCTTCGTCTATGTGATATAGAAAAATTAAGAATAACTAATTATGTAATTGTCATAATCAATTATGTAAAACAATCTTACGTCAAACTCACATACGTATTCTCGTTTTCTGTCTCTTCATAAACTCCAGATTATGCATTCATGGAGTTCGGGAATTTCGGATCTATTTGGATTGGTGTAGTCTGTGTTTTGGAGAAGAGAGTTTGATTATTTTGACTTTATAATTCAACGTTGATGATCAAATTCCAATTCTCATTTACAACTAAATTTAAAATATGGTTATTCAATTATTCGTGAAAATGTTCAATTCTGCAAACGTTACATTACATGTGTATAATTTATTACATAGAAATTGAGTTGAAAAAATCACATTTATTAAAAATATAACTATTAAACAGTCGGTCAGGAAGTCTTTTCTTAAAAGGACCACTCTTATACCACAAACCTGTTGGTAAAAAAATAAAACAACGCTCTCAATTGTTCTTCTGATACAATTTCAAATGAGTTGTTACAATTATTTATGATTAAAATATTTGACTCTTCAAGTGTCAAACATAAATCATAATACCTATTAAATAGGTTTACAAGACATTGGTTATACCACTTGTAATTAAAACCATTAATATTATTTAGGAATACTAAACATCTAATTTAAGTTTTACAATAAATCTTCCCCTTAAACTTAAATACTCTTCCCATCTCTTATTCCAATAAGCCTTTTACAACTCTCCAGTAGTGTAGTTAGCAGTGGTTTGATGAATATGTTAACAGCTTGAGCTCGACTTTCAACATGCTCCAGCTCAACTTTTCCTTTTCTAACTTGTTCTCGGATGAAATGAAATCAAACGTCGATGTGTTTGCTCCTTCCATGATTAACCGGGTTCCACTACTATAAATTTTCATATTTCATGGAAATATTTTTATAAATATTTTGTAAAAATTGCAAGAAATAAGTTTCTTACAAATTTAAACAATTTTTTCCAAGAAAATTTGCAAAAATTAACTAATTTTCTAATAGTGTTCTTTGCCAACTCGATTGCTGACTTGTTGTCAACTCGAATTACAGTCCTTTCGTCTTGGATCACTCCCAGATGCCTTAGTAGATTTAAAAGTCAGACTGCATGACACACACTCCAAGAGACTGCCACATACTCAGCCTCACATGTTGACAGAGTTACAATAGATTGCTTCTTTGACAGCCAAGTAAAAGCAATTTTTCTGAGTAGGAACACATAACCTGAAATACTTTTCCGGTCATCAACATCACCACACCAATCACTATCCGAGTAACTCACTAGTCGGTAGTCATCCGATTTTGAATAAAAAAGACCAAGTGATAAGGTTCCTCGAACATATCTCAGAATTCTCTTTAAGGCCTTCCAATGTGTGTATCTTGGATTCTCCATGTATCTGCTCGTTATCCCAACACTCAGCATTAGGTCGGGTCTTGTGCTTGTAAGGTATCTCAGACTTCCGATTAAGCTTCGATATCTCCCAGAATCAGCTCATTCTCCTCCATCAAACTTTGAGAGTTTAGTGCCCGGTTCCATTAGAGTAGAAACCGGGTTACAGTCCTCCATTTTAAATTTCTTTAAAATTTCAAGTGCGTACCTCTCTTGGGATATAAAAATTCCTTCCTCTGACTGCTTCTCTTCTAGGCCAAGAAAATATTTCATCAGCCCTAAGTCTGTCATTTCGAACTCTTTCTTCATTACCTCCTTGAACTCCTTAATTAGCTTCGTGTTGCTTCTAGTGAATATGAGATCGTCAACATAAAGAGCGACTACCATCATATCTTTTTCTGATTTTTTTGTGTACAAAGCATGCTCATATGGACATTGTTCATACCCATTTTTCTTGAAATACCCATCAATTCTCTCATTCCAGGCACGAGGAGCCTGCTTTAGCCTATAGAGAGTTTTCCTTAATCTCAGTACCTTTTTCTCATCCCCTCTCTTCATCTACCCGAGTGGTTGCTCAACATACACCTCTTCCTTCAACACTCCATTTAGAAATGCCGACTTCACATCCATCTGTAGAATCGACCATTGATTCTGAGCAGCTAATGAGATCAGAAGTCGGATTGACTCCATTCTCGTGACAGGAGCAAATACTTCATCATAGTCAATTCCCTCCTTTTGTCTATAGCCCTTCACCACAAGTCGAGCCTTGTAACGTTCAACCTCTCCCTCAACATTCATCTTCTTTTTGTACACCCATTTTACTCCAATGGGTTGAGCTCCTTTAGGAAGGTCGGTCAGTTCCCAAGTTTTGTTGCGTTCAATCATTTCAATCTCCTCATCCATGGTTGTTCTCCACTTCTCATCTTGGACAACTTTCTCAAAACTCAAGTCTTCAGAGTTAGCCAAAAGACATACAACATGAACTTCATTTGTAGTGTCGTATATTTCCTGCAGACTTCTCATCTTGGGTTGTTGTGACTCTATTTCTTTATCTGAGGACTCAATAGTTGTTATTGTTGAAGACAACAATTTCTGAACTAGTTTCTTCTTCTGCCAGGTTACTCCAGCATCAATGTTTTGTTTCTTCAACATGAACATCTCGGCTTACTACCACTTTATTATAAACAGAATCAAACAATTTATACGCTTTAGATTTTCCATCATACCCGATAAATATGTACTTCTTACTCCGATCTTCTAATTTAGTCCTGTGCTGACTTGGTACTTGCCCATAGGCCACACTACCAAACACCTTCAGATGAGAGACACTCGCTTCATACCACTCCATATCTCCTGAGGCGTCTTCTCACCTAGTTTTGCATGTGGACATCTATTTTGCAAATAGACTGCGCACTGCACCGCCTCTACCCAAAACTTCTTTGGCATATTCTTCCCTTTCAACATAGATCGAACCATATCAAGAATGGTTCGGTTCTTTCGTTCCGCTACACCGTTTTGATGCGGAGAATATGGGGCATTCAGGAAACTTTTGATCCCATGTTCCTCACAGTATTTGTTGAACTCAGTAGAAGTGAACTCACCTCCTCTGTCAGATCGAATTGCTTTGATGACTTTGCTTGTTTCTTTCTCCACAATCACTTTGAATTTCTTGAAAGTTTCAAACACTTCCGACTTCTCCTTCAGAAAATAAACTCATGTTTTCCTTGAAAAATCATCAATGAAAGAGAGAAGTATCTCTTACCACTGAAAGATTCTAGAGTTATTGGCCCACACAAATCAGTATGGATCACTCCGAGTTGCTGCTTTGCTCGAAACTCAGAACTTCTTGGGAAAGAAGTCCTCGCTTGCTTCCCAATCACACATTCTTCACAGAACATTTTTTCGAATTCCATTTTAGGCAATCTGAGCACCATCTCCTTTTTCACCAGCGCAGTCAACCCACCAAAGTGAAGATGACCAAACCGCAAATGTCACTTCATGGTCTCATCCTCCATATCAAATTGCATACATTTATCTTGAACTGTTTTAAGCTCAAGTTTGTACATGCGATTTTTCTTCATTCCCACCAAAGCAACAAGTCTCCCTAATTTATCCTTCAGTTGTAGTTCTCGGTCCTTCATCAGAACCGAGTACCCCTTCTCCATTAACTGTCTCATGTTCAATATGTTGCTTTTGAGATCTGGTACGTAGTATACATCTCTGATCTCTCTGATTTGCCCATTTCTCTGTTGATATCATATCGTTCCTTGACCTTTGACAGCTACTTTCGAAGCATCACCGAAAGAAACAGATCTGGACTCCACCTTTGAAAGTATTTTGAATAAGCGCTCATCACCACACATGTGGTTACTAGCGTCGGTGTCTAAGTACCAAATCGAGTTATTAGAACAATTCGATTTGATCTCAGTTTCTAAAGTGTTTGTCACCATCAGCAATCCTTCATCTTCTTCCTCAGCAAGAAAGTTTGTTGGTTCCTCCTTTTTCTTCTCAAACCTACAATCTTTGGAAATATGACACAGTTTTCCACAATTATAGCATTTTACAGAGTAACAGTCCTTGACAACATGTCAATTCTTTCCACAATTATAATATTTTACCGAGTAACAATCCTTGACAATATGTCCATTCTTCCCACAATTATAGGATTTAATATTGTTTGTGTTTGTCCGACCACCCCGAGTTTGTCCTTGGCCATGTCAATTCTGTTGACCGTCTTGCTCATTTTCTCGTCCTCCTTTTCCTTTACCACCAAGACCTCTGCCTTTTCCTCGACCTCTGGTACTCTGAGCATAGAACACATTCTCCTCTTTTATTATCGCCTTTGCCTGGAGAGCCTGTTCAAGGGACTCCCCCTTCTTGTTTTTCCTTCTCTGCTCATGCGCTTCTAGGGACCCAGCAAGCTCTTCAAGGGTGAGCGTTGACAGATCCTTGGACTCCTCTATTACGCAGACGGTGTTCTCGAAATAATCTGTCAATGATCTCAAAATTTTTAACAACTCGGTTTGATGAAAGACTCTCACCATTCTGAATCAGCTTGTTCACCACGGTCTCCACCCGAGTAATGAACTCGGATACGCTTTTAGGCTCTTTCATCCTCATGTTTTCAAGCTCGCCCCTAAGGGTTTGAAGTCGAACTTGTTTCACCCTTTCATCTCCTTTGTTTGCTTTTTCAAGTGTATCTCATGCTACTTTGGAAGATTTTGTGTTAGCTATCTTCTCAAAGCCATATTCGTCGACGACTCGGTATAGTAGATACAAAGTCACCTTGTCTTTAGCTCGAACGACCTTCAATGCGTTCAGTTGGGCATTTGAATCCATCTGTGTTCACTGGTTCCTCATACCCATTCTCGACCACATCCCAGTTATCTTGGGAGCCGAGAAGAGCCTTCATTTGTACCTTGCAGTTGTCATAGTTGGCGCCTTTCGTTAACTTGGGTAGCAGGATGTCATTGGTTAGACCTGTCATTTCCTCTCAAGTGTTTGTACTCAACTCACACACCTCACAAAGCTCTGAGTCGCTTTTCTCTCTTTCTCAACCAGCACACACTGCGGCGTTCTCTCTTGAGGCTTGGTGGGTTCTCTCACGCTCACCTCACACACAAGCTCTGATGCCAATTTGTTGGTAACAGGAAAACAAAACAGTGCTCTCAATTTTTCTCCTGATGCAATTTCAAATGAGTTGTTACAATTATTTATGACCAAAATATTTGCATATTCAAATAAGCGTAAATCATAATACCTATTAAATAGGTTTACAACCCATTGGTTATATCACTTGTAATTAAAACCATTAATATTATTCTAGAAATATTAAACGTCTAATTTAAGTTTTACAATAAAACCATCGGCTTTGATGCCACTTTTAAATTGTCGGTCATCATACAAAGTCAATTCAATAATCGACTTTGACCTATATTTTTTTTTTCTTTTTTTAGTTTAACATACAGACACACAAACATGAAAAGAGAAAATTGATTTTGTATGGGTGGTGATATTCTTTTTTTACTACAATCTTCGTGTCATTGTCACTGTCACTCACTATTTTTTATTGTCTCCTTATGGCGTCGCCTGTACAATTTTTCCCCCTTGTTTGTTTTCAAGTTAGATGTAGTTTTTTTCCTTAATTATTTTCAAGTTAGTTGTAGTTTTTTTTCTGCTAATTATTTTTAAGTTAGGTGTAGAGACAATTTTTCTCTAATTGCTTTGTACTCTAAGTATTTGATGATATGTTTATTCAAGTTACTTTTCTTTATGCATTCTACAAATCATTCTTATTATTATATAATACTTTTTCAAATAACATTCATATTGACATGAAATTGTTACTAATAAACTTATTTTAAGTTCAATATATTATTATATTATTAAAATATATTATTTTATTAAACCCGATTCAACTTGGATTTAACTCTCAGTTGACTCTTTGAACCCTAAACTCATTCATTCACCGGTTTGATGACCTGTTCAGTTTTAAGAATCATGTCCATAACCCAATGTCCTAAAGTTTTGAGTTGAGAATGATGTCAATAACTTATGTAGGTTGGACTCATATCTTATTGGTGTTATTTTTCCAATATAACTCCCTTGAAAGATCCAACAGTAGTATCAGAGTCGATAATTTGTGTGATGACCAACAGTTTAAGAGTGATCTTTGTACTAGAAGTTTTCCTGATAGTAGGTCAGGTAAACGTATCCCGTTATAATGAATGACACTACATGGAAGAACCAATGATTTATGTAACGAAAGTCTTTCAGCCAATGGTTTGTGTGGTGACTGACAGTTTAAGAGTGATCCTTGTATCAAAAATCTTTCTGACAGTGGATCAAATCCAAGTATGAGTCTAAGTTTCACATTAAGTAAAAATAAGAAAGTTAAGTAACATATAAGAAAGTAAGACCAATAACCCAAAACCTTAAGGTTTTAGGTTAAGAATAGTATCAATCCCTTATGTGAATTGAACTTATCTCTCATTGGTATTATTTATCCTTCATGAATCCTTTTCGAATGACTCAAGGTTATTATGAATTTGACGAGTGATAATACGTAACAAGTCTCTAACTTATTTTTTTTTCCATAAGTGTTTTTTCAACTATATCAAATTGCGTGCTTTGTAGAAGTTTATAGTAGCTATATTTTACATCATCACAACAACACATAATTATTGGATAATAACACTAATTCTAATAAGGTAGAAATACTAAACTTACACCAAATATGTCAATTAAAAAATATAGAAACTAAGGTTAATTTTTGAAAGTACCACAAAAACATGTTTTTTCCAATATTAAAATTTTGAATGGTCTTAATTCTTACATAATTGAATGAAGCTAGATGCTATATTTCACCAAGAAATCATAACTACTGCTAGTAACTGCAACTCTGCTAAAAAATTGATAAGAGTAATATAAAATAGCAATTTTCGTAATGTGACTAGTCACTGTCCTGTGTATGTAATGTAATGACTTGACTTCATTTGTTAAACTTTAAGGTCCGTAAAGAAGGCTAAGGTTCCGTGGAAGAAAGGTCCCAAGGAGTTCTATCTGGGCAAGGACACCTTTTGAGTGAAGGCTCAGCACATAAACAACAATCTGTTTGCTTTATTAACATTGCCTTCTGATGAAAAGATGCTCCCGGGAATGAAAACGAGTTGAGTAGGCTAGATAGTTAACAATTTGAAACTTGAAACTTGGTATTTTTTCACTCTTAATTTCAACTCACTTTACACCTGTGCTATTTCTTCACTGATTTACATGGGCGTAAATAATGGAGTATAGTTCCCAGAAGAGTGTGTGTGAGATGATAAAACATTGTTTTATCTTTGAGAAGTTAATCATTAGAATATAGTACTAATTGATAGTTTTGGCTGACACATTTGTGATCCAACATATCAGCTTCATTATTTTTCAGGATCACACAAATGTTTATTGGCCAAGTAAAAGTTTCCCTTATATTTAATTGAGTTAGGATTGGTGGTTCAAATCCACGTTGAGAATTTTAGGTGAAATCACCATGAAAACAATTATTCGTTGCTTCAGACAATCACGGTGATGTCAACAGTGTTACCAAATATGCAGTAACTCAATCAGCTAGATGTCAAGATGTAATTTGCTTTATATTGTCCAAAAATGGCAGAAAAAAAATTAAAAATATTACTACTAACTCCTACCGAGAGAGAGTTACAAAGCTTCTATTGAATTACCTTCACTGCTGTCAAATTCATACTAGTACCAATGACAGCTACCTTACAATCAAAATGCTGGAAATATGGATCCAGGCAGACACCAGAAAAAGAAAATAAAAACAAAACAAAGAAATCTCACCTGAACTTGGAAAATTACACAAAAGTAAATATAAAAGAATCCAATCACTTACTTTGCATTCTTACACACCAAAAGCTAAAGCTAATAGTGGCTACTATAGTATAGTTTCATTTCTTTAATGCATTCGAGAACAGCATCTAACATTAAAGAACTACACGCTATATGTGGCAGGATCAAGGGTCTGCACCCACAAATTATTAGGGAGAGATACTGTCCAAAGTAGGCTAATTAACAACTTTATGAGGCATGCCACTTTATGACTATATATGATTAGTCATTGCTAATCCATCTTTAACTAAATGATGACAGACAAATCCAGCTCACTTTTTCCTGGTAGGATTATTCAGCCATTATTCGCTTGATCATTTCCAGTTTTTCCTTCTAGCCAATTTTGGTCCCCTCTGAAAATATCTACCTGAAAAGGAAATAAAAAGTGATATCATTCTGTTGCTATGCACAACATAAAGCCCTAATTATGCAGAGGTTAATGGTCATAAATTGTTCTTGGGTTGACGATGAAATCTTGATAATTAGTTTATATGTTCAAACACATCTTAGTTCAAAAGATTAATTAACACATCTTAGTTAAAAGGACACGGAAGTTTGGATCTTACTTCTGAATGGCCTAGGAGTGACAACTTGCAAATATGCTCTAAAGAACTCCTTGTTCTCCTTTTGCAACTCTTTCCACACTGCATAAAGAACATAAATATAATATAATCCACATAATCAAGTTGTAGAAGAAACACCGAATGCAACAGAAACTTCAATACACAAGTGCTATATATCTTTCTTCTGTTTTGAGAGCCCGCCCGCCCACAAACAAACTCAAGCGAGGATACGGACCTGTAACAGTGACAAGTGGTCTAATTCCTGCATGTTTTGCCAGAGCCCTTACGCACTGTTCTTGGCTCATGTGAAACAGCATGCACCTCTCAATGAGATTCTGAACCTGGATTATTTTTCATGCACGAAGGTTATAATATAAATAAATAATGAAGGCAATAATACTCTTTAAAGTAAACTGATGTCCGTTCTATATATAATATTATATCAAAAAAGTAAACCAGGTAGATTATATTACCATCCTAATATAGCTATAAGGGTGGCAATACAAACAAGGAAGCGGGTATTGGTGACCGTGATGCATTGTGTTGATTTTGGAAAAAACAAAGAGAATAAGAAAGGAATAGAAGAAAGAAAACAAACAGCAAAAGTACACAAGAATTAAGATATTTTTGAAGGGGGTTTTATATAGTAGAGAGCACACAAATGGTAGTGTAACATTGCGTTATCCACACATATCTAGAGTGAAGGGCCAAAATAGCTCGAGAAATCCAAACGATAGATTCACCTCATCTTTCAAGGGATAAGAGGGGTGGTGTTCCCCCATCTCCCACTCTTTTTTCTCTCTTTCCTTCTTTTTTTTAAGATTGAATTTGTGTGCTATTTAATACAAAAATGTGGACATGCCAATGACCACTTAAACTTCAAACCTGAAAACTCGATGATTGACCAAGTGACGAAGCATTTATGCTCATATATAATGTCAACATCATCCATAAAAACTCGTTAAACCAATATTAAACAAAAATTATTGACATAAAAAGAAAAACAGATTATCCTTAACTTTAAGAGTGTAAACAAATACCTCATTTATTGAGGCAACATCTCATGTCCCACTCTCTTGAAATAGCCTGAATATGGAGTGGTCCTCTCCTGACGCATAGAAGCCACTTGCTTCCGTTTTAGTAGAGATGCAAATCACGCCAAAAGAGGGAAAAAACAAAAGAAAAAAGTTGAACGATTGATTCAAATCAACGTCATGAAAAAGAAGAAAAATAGTGTGAGGAGGAATATGATTACCTGACCTTACCTGCTACCGCGATTCGTATATATTGAAAAATATAAAAGAGGTAATAACATGTGAAATGTAATGGCACCGCGTGTTTGAATATGCTCGCTTGAATATACATTTTATACGTGCCTCAACCATATTCGATAACAAAAATGCAGAGATTACCAAAAAGTGAGAACTATTACTTTTAGAAATAATTAAAATTTATTTATTTGTCATAAATATTTTAAAAATGTATATAATTTTAATGGAAATTAATATATAATTTAATGTTTTATTAAAATTTTATATATTTATTTCACTAAATGATTTAATAAAACTAATATTTTCATCACTGTAAAACTTTTTTTATTTGAAGAAGCTTTATTTTTATCTCCGTCAAAATAATTTTGTGAAAATCATAAAAGATAAATTCTCGGGCAATATTATTTTTGGTAATACTAGTTGCGTGGAGAATTAAGTGTGAGTTTAAAGTATGGCCTATGAGAATGTTAAGTAATATATAATGATCTATGACTTGTTACTTAATATCTTAAGATTTTGGGTTAAAAATGTGTCATATTCTTTTATATTAATAGATTATGACATGTCAGTATAATAAAAAAAATGTCCTTAAGAATATTCTAATGATTAAAAGGTTGAGAAACTTAGAAGTAAGAAAGATCCTATTGCTTATTATTTTTTAAAATAATTTCTATTTTTCTAGAAGCTAATTTATTTCATAATTATTTGTTAAAATATTTTTTAAAATATTTTTAATTTTAAAAAATTTCAAGAACTAAAAAACAACTATACCAGAGAATGCAAGATAATAAACTAGAGAAATTTCCAATTGAATACGAAGTACACCAACTATACCAGTGAAATTAAAATTGTACTTAATCCAAAACTTCAAATCATTAAGCTAATGACTATTTTGATTTATATATTATCTAATTTATCTATTTCTACCTAATTGACTTAGTTCTTGAAATTGATTTATGTTATACCTAATTGAACCAAGCATGTCGTGAGAAAATTGGTAAAAAATGAGTGGAATTAATATATCGTTAAGCTTTTTAAGATTTAAAGTTTAGGATTTAGTAATAATTTGTATAATTTTCTCTTTTTTCTACCAAATAACCTACATATATTGTTCACGTTTAAATCTACAACGCTAGCAGCTATAAACAAATAGTTCTCCTAGAATGGATGGCTTTCCTTCGTCAAATTCAGACAAATAATTCTGCGACACCTCTTTCGATAAAAAAACTCCAACAATTCAAATAATATAAATGGATTTTTAACGGTAAGAATAAAAATTATGGATTTACTGTTGATATATTTTTAATTATCTAATAATGTAAATTATTAATTAATCTTAATTATTAAAGTTTATAAAAATAAAAAATAATTCTTTAATTAAGTAAATTCCTTTTTAAATTATATATATAAGATAAATTATTTTGTTGGATGTAAAATGTAAAATTGACTTAAATATAAGTATTGAATTTTTTATTTTAAAATATAATTATTAGACTACATAGTACATAAATCACTTTTAATATCAGATTTTCTACATCGAGTTTTCAACTAAACCAATATGAAAAGTCTTTTTATTAGATTAAAAATATTGTCATTGACGAGATTCAAAACTAATACTTTAAAATTTGATACTGATACTCCAACAATTAAAGCTGCTAGAATTTTTCGATAAAAACTTACATATAAATTATATTTATATACAAATAAATGTATATCGAGTGTAAATATATAAATACAAATATATTTATATATTTTGATATATTTATATAGTTATATATTTACATATTTATATGTTGGATGTCGAAGTTGTGCTCAAGGGTGAAAGTGTGTTGTGTCAAGTGGGTTTTCAAAATTTGATGTCAAATTTGTGAGCGAGTCTCTTTATATGAATTTGTAATTTAATGATAGAATATAATCTTTATAATTTATTTATAAAATGATATAGAATATAATCTTTATAATTAATTTATATAATGATATAAAATAAATAAAAAAATTATTTTATATCATTATATAAATAAATTATAAAGATTATAGTCTGTCATTAAATTATAAACCCATATAAAGATATTTGCTCACAAATTTGGCATCAAATTTTGAAAATTCACTCGACACACACTTTCATCATCGAGTAGCGCAGATTACATCTAACATAAAAATCTATTTGTATTTGTATTTATATATTTTATATTAATATATTTACATGAATATACATTTTTATTTGTATATAAATATAATTTATTTATAAGTTATAATTAGAAAATCCTAGTAGCTTAGTAGTTGAAGTATTAGTCTCCAACTCTAAGGTATTAGGTTTGAATCCTACCAGATGACAATTTTTTTAATCTGGTAATAATTTAAATTTTTAAAAAATATAATATAAAAGGGAGGGGAACCTTATTATAATTAGATAAATAGAGATGGATTATAAATAATTAAAAATATTAGACTTTCTACATCGGTTCTTTACAATCGATGTGGAAAATCACACTTTCTACTAGTGTTAAAAAGGGAAAAAGATAAAAAATAATTTTAATTTTTTTTTAAATAATTTGATATCTTCTCCTAATAAAATCATAATTTTTAATACTTTACACATTCACCGTAAAATTAACTTTGTACTAGAGTAATTATAATTAAGACTTGGAAAAATTATCAGATAATCAAGGATTAACTGTAAAACAGAAAGGATATGAAAAGTCTATATGGTGAAAACTTATTTGAATAGTATAGATGGTGATTTTAACATAGGTTTGTTAATTCTATCATTTATTGCATCATATATATTTTTGCTCACTTGAACATCAGATTATTTTTACTGACATATTCCTCCTCTAGAGTCATTGTTTGTTAATTCTACAATTTATTGCATTGTTTGTTTATAATACTCATGGAAAAAAAGTGACAAAAAGACTTAGAGTCATTTACCAAAAGGAGTAAAACATTCACTAATATAAAATAAACAAACAAATTACATTTTTTAATCACGAGCTATATAAAAATAGTTGATAAAAAAAAATACATGATATTAGTTTTGAAATTATTTTTAACTTTTTAATTACGGTTCTTTTATAACTGTCATCATATGTGACATACGACAACGATTATAAATAGAATCATTGTCATATGTCATATATGATGAGAAATCTAAATAAATCATTGTTATATATGCAAAACAATCAACATATAACAATGATTATATTTATAATCATCGTTGTATGTCTAACTTTTTAACGATGGTTCTTTTATAATCTTCGATATATGTCACATATGACAACAGTTATAAAAGAATCGTCGTTATATGTCACATACAACGACAATTATAGAAGAATCATCGTTATATGTCACATACGATGACAATTATAGAAGAACCGTCGTTATATGTCACATATGACAATGATTATTTACAAAATCGTCATTGTATGACGTAAAATATTTACAGTTTGGAATCAATTAAGAATAGAAAATTAGGAATTGAGAACAAAATAGAGAAAACTTGAATAAAGGGAAGACGTCATAAACAAAGTTTGATAAAGTCTAAGGATGATCGCCATAAAAATTGGTGAATTCTTGATAAGATCGAAGAAATAAGGAAGAACCCTAACAGAGAAATATTCTCACTTTGGCAAAATTTATCTATTGCTTCTTTTCTCAATTCAACAATAATACTTTTAGGGTTTTCTTGGGTTTGACTTTGTTTATAATAAAAAGAAACCCAAAAGAATTAAAACTAATAAAATATTAAACTAATGGTCTTGGGTTCAAATTCCATCTCCATAAAAAAAATTATTTTTATTTTAACTTTCCAAGCCCATTACACATGTAACCAACTTAGTCTCCTCAGTTACTTGCGTATTTGATTGTTGGACCTCCAATAAAAGAGTCACATTCTATTGTAAAACTTTTTGGGTCTGTCTAGTCCTTCCTTTTGTCATTAGTCCAATTAAGTTTTCAATTAGATCTTCATCTTTCTTCTCTTGGCCTTGGGCTTTTATATCCACATCATTCCCTCCCTCTTGTAAATGATTTGTCTTCAAATCTAAAGAGTCATGATCTACAATAAAAGGAGATAAGTCAGAAACATTGAAGCTAGTACTCACATTATATTCACATGGGAGATCAATCTTGTAGGCATTATCATTGATCTTCTCTACCACTTGGAAAGGTCCATCTCCCCTAGGTTGGAGTTTAGATTTTCAATGTTCTGGAAATCTTTCTTTCCTCATGTGTACCCAAACCCAATCAACAGGTTGAAATCCTTTGTTAGC